ACGCACGCACACACACATACACACACACACACACACACACACACACGCACACACACAAACAAACAAACAAGCTCAGCAATCGTCAACCAACTCCATTTTGTGACCCGAACAGGTGCTCACGGCGTCACTTGAAGTTATCCTCCTCCTTTGTCCTCTTCTCAAGGAAAGCATGAGTATTGTGTGCGTGAAAACATGTTTTGAATGTCTGGCTGCTGGCAAAGATGGACTCCGAGCATCATGTAGCATGAGCGTCATCATGAATATATACAACTATGAAAGTCACACCATGGTATGCGTCAATTTCCTACCAGGAAATATAATGCATATAGCCCTCGGCAATGTAATCGTCTGTGTTCCGTCTTGAAGAAGGACATCTGAGTCCTGAGTAGTTTCCTTGGTAGACGACAATTCGACGACGACGAGTTATGCCGCATAGTCTCCCACACTATAGCAAAGTGATAGCATAGCCTTCTGGCGAAGGCAAAAATTGACCAAGGGAGTTCGCCACCGTACAGGTAATTTGCCAGCTTCGGAGGGGGAATTTTATCCTCCCTCAGACTTATGACTTTGCTGGCCAATATCCCCCCCCCCTCCTTTTTTTACCAAATTCTACGATATATGTATATGATCCGTACCCCCACAGAAAGCCATATGCATATTGTGCATTAGAGTTCATTCCTAAGTGATCATGTGCACCTTCACGTCCAACAGCACGTTGTTCCCGAGGATCTAAACCTCCTCCCGGGACAACTTATCGACGTCCGGCGGACCCTCGAGCAGGAGACGTACCGCCTGGCCAGCCCGCCTCCCCCAGTACCTCCGCACAACGTTAACGGCAACGTACGGCAAGAGTTTGTTTTTCTGTGAATAATTTCTGTGAATAATTTTGTTTTTTCTGTGAACAATTTCATTATAACGTTGGCGAATCATTGAATAGTTCTTTATTTACAACCACTTGTCCAATCGATGATGTACACGTTTTCGGGCTGAGAGCTAGAAAAGATGGTACCACCTGTCCTCTCAACCCCATCTACACAAATTTTAATGAATAAAGAGCCGACGTTTCGATGGTCGTCTGTCATCAGGGCAATTATGACTGGTTTACTATGCACTGAAGCTATGTTTTACAGGTTCACTGTGCACTGAGCTGATATCGGTGCTGTTCAAAACGTAAAGTATAAAGCTATGATTGTTATAGTGAGATATGTCCTGATGGAGATAACAGACGATCATTGAAACGCCGGCTCTTGTTAAACAAGTGGTTGTGAGTTTGTAGGGTTGTAGTTTAGTAATAAAAGTTGTTATAAGTTGTATCTGGCACAATTGTTGTACAGTTAAGTTGTTATTGTTATTATTTGGTGCAGGTGACGAGATCAGCGTCCTCCTCCTCCGGTTACTCCAGCGGGCAGAGCGGGACCAACATGAGCGGCAGCGGGGACAGTGCCGGCTCCGAGGCCTCCAGCCTACCGCCTCCGCCTGCTGCTGTGGAAATGGTGGGATAGAACTAGAAGTAGAACTCGTAAAGTAAATGTAAGGATCCATCTCCGTCTTTTGGTAGACTGGGCTGGGTTAAATCATTGAAAACTAAGGTGTTGTTATATACTAAAAGATGTAATGAATATTGCAAAACAGATTATGTAAAACGGAGAGACGGATCCTTTCATCTGCTATAGCTAGATTAAGATAGAACTACCTACATGTGACTTGCAACAATTTGAGGAGATAATAGAAAAGTACCAGAGAAAACCGTTAGATATACACATGCATGTGTGTGTGTGTAGAAATACATACACCCATAACGTTACCTAAATATGTGTAGCATTTCAAGACTTGTAACGTCTCTAATTTTGATGATAATTAGTTGAATTTACTGTGTATAGGTACTGTGTAACATAATTGAAAATAGGCACTCAGTGTCCTTGCGTGTACATACCTATTTGTAGTGTCTGCTGCTACACTTCACCCACAAAAGTAATTGAAGATACGTTCAATTTGCTATAATTCCATATTGATTTGTCCAGCACGCCTATAGGTTTTACCCCGATTACCTGAAGGAACGAGGACGAGTGAGACCACCGTAAGTCTGTAAACATCTCCCCTGTCAGTCTGTGATATACGAGTACCATTGGTCGCTATTGCGTTACCTTTTAACGGTTAAGACCACTTAAATCACGTATTTCTAAGGTCTACCCACCCAATCCTTTCTGATTCATTGTAGTCTCATCAGATGAACCAACCAACTAACAGTAGTATCGCTTATAAATATGACGCGTAATAGAATTTTTTAATATCCTTTGTCACCTATTCGAGTCAAGACGCAGTTCTGTTTTGTTCCGCCAGGTGGTTCTTCCACCTGCTACCACGTGACCAGGTGGAGCAGGTGCTGGCGGACAACATCGTGAACGGGAACATGCTGCTCCGGAGTAGCGACTCCGCTCCGGGCGGACTGGTTCTCTCGGCAAGGCTGCCCGTCAACGGGTAACGGATGTTATCCTTTAGCTCACTGAAGTAGCCATTTGGCTAGCAATTCTCTATTGGGTGTTGGGTATATACAGGGTTAGGCAGCAGGGAGAAGGTCACTAGAAGTTTGACACGCATGACCTAAGTGTCGAAACGTGCTGCTCCGGAGTAATGATTCCGCTCCGGGCGAACTAGCTGGTTCTCTCCGCTAGACTGTCCGTGAACGGGTAAGAGAAGTTAAAATTTTTAGCTCACTTCTGTAGCCATTTAGCTAACAATTCTCTGTTGGGTGTTGGGTATATACAGGGTTAGCCCACAGGGGGAGCCTTGTTAGCTTTAGTCCGCTCCCCAAAATCCGCTACCCGTTGTTGTTGGTGATTGTTGATTTCTGATGGTTTCATTTTTTGCCGCCCCTGTGTCTGCTACAGAGAGCCGCAGGTCCGACATTACATCGTCAACATGACTAACGGGCACTTCGTCCTCGACATTGACAAGAAGGTACGAATTAGAATGACGCTCACATCTGAAAATAGAACGTTAAAATGTTTGTCTCATAATCGCAAAGTCATGGATGTTGATGCTGTTAACAAGACTTTTATTGAGAAAATCATGAGTGAAAGTTTTTTTTCTCCAGCATCCCCCGATTTTGAACATTTACGAGTTGATTAACTACTTCATCGACCAGAGCGGAGGGAACGTGGTTCCACTGGAGACCAGCGACCTCTCTCAGCTGGCGCTACCGGCGGGACTGTACGAGGGAGACAGGGGTGAGAGGTCTTCTTACTTCGAATGGAAAAAAATTGTTTTGCAGCCTCTCCTCTCTCTCCCTCTGTGTATGTGTGTGTGTGTGTGTGTGTGTGTGTGTGTGTGTGTGTGTGTGTGTGTGTGTGTGTGTGTGTGTGTGTGTGTGTGTGTGTGTGTGTGTGTGTGTGTGTGTGTGTGTGTGTGTGTGTGTGTGTGTGTGTGTGTGTGTGTGCTTGTGTGTGTTTGTGTATGTGTTTGTGTGTGCTTGTGTGTGTCTGTTTATGTATGTGTGCGTGTGTTCGTGTTCGTGTGTGGTGTGTGTGTGTTTGTGTGTGTGTGTGTGTAAGTGAGTTTGTGTTTGCGTGTGGTGTGTGTGTGTGTGCGCGCGTGCGCGCGGGCGTGTGTGTGCGTATGTATGTGTGCATGAATATATGTGTGTGTGTGTGTGTGTGATATGTACATGTACATTTGTACGTGCATGTATGTGTACGAGCCCGTACGTGTTCTGTGTCTGTGTGCTTGTGTGAGTGTACTTAATAACTGATTATATATTACTATTGCCGTTTAATTCCAGTGGTGAAGTTGGACCAGTGCCCACACTGGGGAGAGTGGTCGGCGAAGCCAGTACCCAAGTCCGTAGTCAACATGCTCAAGTACTCCGTACCACCAGGTAGTGTTTCATATCTTGAAAATTCATCTATGTTGATAGAAGGCATTATAAAGCAAGTTTAAACTGTAATTCCAAACACAAAAATGGGACTTGCCAAAATTTTCCCATGTTTCGAAAATTTGGACATACCCAACTTTTCGACCGTACAACTCCAGTCTTTGTCAAGGTCTGCGGCGCCCACCGTTTAGGGATAGCTTCAATGCTCTGATGTAGACGGTGGCGCCACAGACTTTCTGGAACCTATGATCCACTGGTCATCGAGTAATCTGCATAACTTGAGGTCACAGAAGCTGTTGAATGCTCATTCCTAATGAAAGGTAGCGGTTGCCTAAATCTGGTCAGACTGCTCCCGAACTTCAGCCAGCTAGGTTGGTTGGTACATGTAGTTGGGGGAAGGGTCTGAATGTGTGACTTAATGCTGTTGACGTCACTACAGATGAGCTGCACAAAGTCCAGGAGATGTCCATCTGGAATCCACCCAGCATGCAACTGCCGGAGGTGGACTACGATGACGAACCAACCCCAAGTAGGACACAAGTCTTTTTTTTAACGAATGACTTGAAAACGTTGTACATGTAGAATACTAGTAGTTACTATATATGATACCTTACAGACACATGCTTCGATGTTGAACATATTTCGTTCAAATAACAAAACTTGGGTTTGGTAAAGAGTTTGGATGTCTTCTGTTTTGTACTTGTAATGAACTGTATCCTAGGAAAGTAGGCCAGACATTAATTCACCGAGAAATAGCGAAGAGAAGGCTAGAGAAAACAAACCAAGGAAGAAGTCATATATAAGGCGTAATAAAAACAAGGAAAAAGAGAGAGGCAAGCAAACAAAATATCACACATATACGGACAATTCCCTATACTATGTCCATGATGCAGATCCATCCGGGAACACGTGTTACAAACATCATGATGTTAATGAGACAATTAAATGAAGATGTTTAAATTCTTTCGCAGTATTCCTTGAGCATGATGACGACGATGTACATGATTATGTCAATTGTGAGGAAGGTAAGACGACTAACGTGTGCGGCGAGCCTCGCCGTTTACTTGCACTCTCCCGAAATGTAGCCTGGGTACCACCCTGGTTAGTTTACGTCCGCTCCCACAGTGGGAGCGACTGTGGGAGCGAACGTTAACTAACCAGGATGGTATCCAGGCTTGGCCTTGATTTCTCAGGCAGCGTCAAATCCTTAACGCACCTTTTATCACTCTCGCTTCATTCATTAGATCCTGTCGGTGGTATAACTGGAGACGGTATTGCGTACAGTCGCACTACCTTTGTAAAACGTGCAATTCCGTTTAGGTGTTGATTATATTGAAAGCAGGGAAAAATCCAGACATGCATACTGCATCCGCGATGTCGCCTGAAAAAGTGCTGGAACATTTTTGCGCACTGCTTTTGCTTGTTTGCCAAAAGCAGTGCTAACACTAGTGCTAACGTCAGTGCTAACACTACGCATTGATTGTTTGTGTAACATGATGCGTTCATTGTGATCATAGACTTATACCGCATAACTCATTCACGCTCCTCCTGTTACAGAAAAGAATGAAGAATGGGTGGAAGACACTGAGATGAAGATTCCACGCCCACAGGTGTCATGAAAGTAACAACAATCATGGTGATGGTTTTTAATCATAGCAGATTAGACAGGGGCGATCATCATGACTGTCTGGAAAACAGCATATAGGGTTTGAGGTACAAGTGATCACCTGACAAACCTGTACAAGTGACCACCTCTACCTGATAACAGCCTGACCATCGTGACCACTTGTTTTGGTGGTCCCATATACAATTTTTCCCATTGATACAAGCATTATGAGTCCTGAATCCTGTCTAAGGACCACCTGTCCTCCTAGATCAGATTTTACAGGTCCCGAGTTCTTAGGCAGTTTTGACTGTATGTACCTAATGATGACCTGTAAAATCATTTGCACCAAAGTTTTTATACGCTATTGCATTTAAATATCTATTCCCAAATCAATATCACTTGAATTATATTTATATTTTGTGACTTCATGGAATACATTTATATAGAAATACCTACTGCATGAAGTTACATGGGAACTCCAACTTTGTATAAACAACCCTCTTCCAGATGTGCATGTATGTTACACACTCATTCTACGTGTAACCTTATAGTTTCTGCTACATGTACGTGTTGAAGAACTGCTGCTGAACAAAAAATCATATTAGCAAAGGGGCCTGCCTATATTGGATAATAATGAGACATTGAGTTGTGTGAAAGAGTTTAGTTCTGAATGTAACATCTTGGTTTGTACGTGGGCAACAATTTTAAAGAACTGCACAAAGTCCTATGTGAATCTGTTTGAAACTTGAAAACTGTTCCAGTGTCATCAGAAATATTTTATGAAACTGATACACATGTATTCTGAAGCTGAGGTATCATTCAAATTTTATGCATTTTTGTTAAAACTCACTTATTTTTTAACGTTATTGTATATCAATTTTTATATATGAATTGACAACTGTATCAAGAGATGTATTTAAATGCTGCTGTATTTTGGGTAGTTCGGTGTAGTGCATGTCTAGGTCAGGGTAGAGATTGCAACCTGGCATAACAGCTGATTCTATCCGTAGACAGAGACTCTGATCTGGATTCTTGGAATGTGTTCGGATGGTCTCCAAATTGTAGATCCCAAGCTTCAAGTCAATCCATTGACATAAAGAGACAGACACAATCTAAGTTGAAAATTTCTAAAAAGCCCAAATCCACAAGCAAAGAAAAAATTAGACTCCCGTAGGATCTCCAAACGGTAGAATGTCTGTTTGTACTGGCAGAGATTCTGAAATCAGAGAATCTTATTGTGATCTTTACCTGCAAAATCAGTGCTTCTGCCATACTGCAATATGTACCCTGCATCTTTATATGAGAAAAATCCTGCTGAATGGATATCGGATAAAAACTGTATAAAAAGTATATCATTTTCATGACTAGAGTCAAAATATTCACACATGCATAGGCATTGACATCATGTTTTTTTACTGGCATCTTTTCTTGGTTTTCATTAAATATTGTATCTCTTTGACAATGTCATGAACATGGTTGTGGTGTTTATCTCTTGAGCATCTCATGCCACCCTCTACACTATAATCAGTGCCACAAAACCTTTGCCTTTTCTGTGTTACAACAGTTAGAAAGTCCATGTCACAACACAACAAAAGAAATTTCCTTCTAACTTCCAGTTAGAAATGATAGTATCAGCTATGTGCTCATATTGTTGCTTACTCAATTACTTTCCTGATTTCCGTACATATATTTACTGCAGTGACAAATTTAACTGGCTAAAAGTGCATTGATTTAAATGTCGTATAATTGACTAACAAAATAAGAAGCTTGTTTGAAAAAAAATGAAGGCTGGCATATGTTCAAAATTCTAACTTTTACAAAAGTTGCTGATAAAAGCTTACAAAGAAGCAAAACTAGGACAAGCTGCACAACAAAAGACTATATTTATTTAAAGAATATATTTTAGAGAATTAATACTTTTTCAGAGAAGTTTGATTCATTGACTCACTATTTTGATGAATGTATATCTTATATGCAGTGCTGTTCTTGACACAGTTAACTGCATCCCAAAAGACAAGGCTTCTTCTCACCACATTCAAGTACAGCTAGCTCACATCTTGTGTTTGCAATATTCATATAATATTTTTGTTACACAATCAGACAAAATTATAAAACCATAACTAATAAATAGTAACCAAGAAGACACTGACAAAAAAGAAAACCTAACTTTTTTCTAATAGTCTGTTCCAAAATACATGTATCATCAGCATGAAAGTTCATCTGAGTACATTCAGACAAACTTTCACAAGAAAAGGTACCCTGATTATTGGAGTAACAGGACATTTCCTTCACATGTTTCTGAACTAGCACATATATAAGTAGGTACTCCAGAAGATAACATCAGACTTGTGTGGCGGGTTCATTTGAGTGTTCTTTAGCAATTGAAATCCAACATTATGGTAACCCCACAGTGTCTAAGAATCTCCCAGAGACACTGAGTGACTTAAGGGTTGTAGATAAGAAGGCCATCTTAAAGATGGAAGAAGTAGCGCACAGGTGGGCCAGGGATGTCTTCTCCGTCTTCTCCCTCAAAGGAAACGGTCAGGTCCACATATTTCTTTTCAGCACCAGGTTTGATCAGCTTTACCATTCTGTGAGAAACATATATGGTATTAAGGCCATATTGACTATATGGATGACATATCAATATCAATTTTCATCTGTCCCCCTCCCCCCCCCCCCAAAAAAAAAATTATAAAAGGTTTGCAACCACATTGTTTTTGGGGGGTACTTGAAGAATGACAAAGAAGAAAGAAGATTCCAGAGGAAATGAAGCAAGTGAGATCTATACATACAATGTATTGAAGCAGTTTCAGAAAGTGCAAGATAGGTAATTGTATAAGAAAGAGGCAGGTCACTCACGTCTGTGGTAGTCTTTTCTTGTGACCTGGCATGATGGGAACATACACCATCTTTACTCCATACACAACCATGGTGGCCTCAAAACCATGTTTCTCCTGCAAAATAGGAGGGTTTATATATTGCATAGTATACATGTACATGTAGCACCTATAGAATTCACAGAAGGACATACATTGAAAAAGAGATGCCTTGCTTGTACATGACAAAGACATCATGCTTCATCTACATGTGCATTCAAATCTGGTGTTGCTGTGATGCTATATTCTCATCAGGCTTTTACATAATTGTTACCAGAGCACAAACCATTTCTTTATCCAATTTATGATGTTACATGTCGTGGAAATCTTAGCTAGCCAAGGTTTCAAATATGTTTTTTTGATGCAGCATACCTCTGGCTGGCACCAGACAAATTTAATTTTACCTACACCAGTCAGGATTTAGGAAGTACACTTTTATTTTATTTAGAACCGTTGTCAATATTTCCTTTATACTTCATAGGTCATAGTGCATTTTGTCTATTGTGCTTGCACTTTATTTGAATCTCTAGAACTCACATTCAGTTTGCTGATTCTTGATGTCTTTACCTTAAAGTATGCGAGGAACTGTTTCAGGGTGAAGTCCTTGTTGCCATGGACATCCCACTTGTCCCACAGGGTTACTGATAGGCCTTCCCTGCAGACAAACAACAAACATGTGTAAACACAAACAAACAAACAAACAAACAAACACCTTCCCTGCTGACCCCATCCACAATGATTTAGGTGCACAGTTGGGATCACAGCAGCTAGAGAGAAATCTAAATATACATTTGATTCATAATACAGAGAATGACTTTTTTCAGCCTGCAAAAATCTACGTAGTCAATAACATTCAGAGATTCAAACTTCAGTTTACTTATACATGTGTGGAAGTTAAGTTTAACATGCCATAGTAGTACATGTATGTCTATGGTTGTGCAGTTATGTACATCCAAATGTGCCCCACAGCACATTTGGATGGTGTTAAAAATTAACATGCTATAAAAACATATGAAGTACCCAGAAGAGCTGTTATTTTGCAGTCTACACAAAGGCCAAATATAAGGCCAAAATAGTTGACTATAATCAGTCAGAAGATAGTTTTAACAATCATATTTCATAATCGTAGCTCCTACGCGTCTAACCACCCACCTGATGACAGACTTCTCAGGCGGAGCAGGTTCAGAGAAGACCATGACAGGCAGGGCCAGGTTCAGGAAACAGTTCCTGTAGTGTTCTAGTGGGGAACCCAGCACCACCTTCACCAGTTCTATGGAAACCTGCAAAATATTCACAGGTTAAGATGATACTGCAGTGTTCTAGCCAGCCTGAATTTTTTTCCGTCATCTCAATTCTACTTGGCATGAAAATTACCAGGAAAATTGTGAAAACTTGACCCTCTGAAATGCTATTCCTTGCATATTGGGGTACAGATTTTGCTGGTAAACTAACCTTTAATGACATCTCTTTCAATATCTTAACAATTGCTGATTTTTGCCTGTCGACGGTGACAGATTTGGCAACATTTTTATCCATCACGAACTGCAAAATGATGGAGAGATGGACTTAATTTTGTAACATATCAGAGCACAGTTATAATGTTTAGCTTAAATGACTTTAAATACCTTTGAGACTACAACAAAACTCACCAATCCCGCGACAGCAGCAGTTGTGGTGGCGATGGCTGGTACTATCCGGCCGGCGATACGCTTGGTCTTCAACCGGTCTGCCTCCTCAATACTGTACATTCTGGCACGCAGGTTCTGAGAAAGAACAAATACAGATACAGGAGATATATAATTTGGTACATGCATTATATGCTGTACGTAGTGATATATCCAACATGTAAATGTTCTAAATGCCTAAAATTCAATCTCAAAATTCACATAAATTACCATTTGTACAACAGTTACTATGAATATGTTTTCTTACAATTTGGAAAACACTGTCAGGCTGTTATTGAAGATGTAGCATGTAGCAATACAAACTGATTATTAACATGTTACCACCCTCTTGAGTAAATTTCCATTTCCACATACTTTTTTGCATTGTAGTCAATATGTTTACAGTACAGAGATGTCAATAGTATAAAAGTACTGAGTAAAGGTTCTGACATACGGAGCAGGCTGTGATGAAGTCAATGTGCCCGTTACTGTCATCGTCTTTCTCAAACACAGCAGGGACCATCTGAAGGGTATCTGTGCAGGGAAGCAAGTGTTCAACTTAGCAATAACACTGGATTGAATGTACACTGAAAACTGTATATAGTGACCACTCAAGGGACATGAAGAAAATGGTTCACAGTAGGCAGGTGGCCAATGTAGACTGGATTCTTGGTAGCCTGGTTACCAAAACTATTTCATCTGCCAAGTCTCTTTTATCCTCTCCACAAATAGTGGTCACAAAGTTGTTTGTTACAGCAGAGGAGGTCACTACATGTACATGTAGCACAGGTAACGTTTGACTGTAGCCCTTTGGTTTGGATGACTGTTTCTTACAGTGACGTTGTGGTAAAAGCTGCCCGCATTTTACTTTATCCTAATATCATAAGACAATACTTTACAAACTGATCATGAAATAAAGACTGACTTGAGTTGAGGTCCCTCTCCTGCAGGAGCTGCTCCAGAATGTGCACACTCCTCTCCACCTCATCCCCAGAGAACTCCTCCTGCTCAGGCTTCTTGGCTGACTCATCAGTCTCTATTGTCTGCAACAAACAGTAGAAACTGTCAATCCAACAATTGAAAATGAGCAAGAAATCAGAGTTTTCAGACTTCCAGGAAGTATGCTATCCTTGGCTTCTGTAGATGAGACTTTGATTTTCTTCTGAACTTGACAAAGATATTTCTCTAGTACTTCACCAATACACCTATGCCCTACATGTATATGAACTAGCAGTAAGATAACAATTTTCCTCCATCACTGGGCGTTCCGTCTTGTTGACTTACATGTATCTCGTAAAGAGAGTTGCTATGTTCCAAACCCGATGACAGATATACTGTTAGCCTGAAAGCCATCCTCTGTTAGTTTCTGCTGGCTCCCTGATGTCGCTGGCTACCATGGAGTCTGGACTAGCTGATATACATAATGGCTGATGATGATGTTACGTAATGAGCTAGTGCAAGCAGCGTGTGCTGGGCAGGGCCTCACTTGGGTAGCCAGCAACACTAGGGTACTGCAAAGTGCTAATGGCACTGAAAATATTGCTTCCTTAATCCCACAGACGAAATACGTCTAAATGATGACTTAGTCTAGACCTGACTGGAGTTCAGTCATGTAAAAGTTGTTTAAATTGATTTTTGTACCTTTGATTTTGGTCTGAACTCTGGTACTTTTATGGTGGGTAGAAGCTCCAACAATGCAGCCTTGGTCAAGTCCTGGGAAATGAAACAACACAAGATACTTAACAGTACATACAAAACACACAAACTACTTAGAACGGATAGAAACTTGTCAGATGGTTTTGGTATTTAGTAACATAAATAACTATGATTCAAAAAAAGAAGACTGCTATAGAGCTGACCTCATCAGTGACTGGAATATTGCACAGGCCTGCCAGCAGCCGTGAACAACTCAGGACAAACAGAATGTGTCTGTGGGACAAGGAAGGACAAAGCACAAATTATAGACAGGTAAATCTGAAGTAACATCAACAGATACAATGATATCTTCCACACTGACTCCTAGCAAGCAATTTGTAAGTCAACTTTACAAGCAGAATGGATTTAGAAAAAATGCAGTACGTTCATTTTTACAAATAGTGTATTTATTATAATGATAGTTCCACCCAACCCCAAAAATAAATAGATTTGCGGGTTCCAACATAAAAACTTGAAGAATTGTCCATATATTAAACTTGTACTCACAGGTCATCCTCCTGGTTGAAATCAACTGGTTTGGGTGGCCGTTTAGGAGACTGCCAGAAAAGGGCTACAACATAGAAGACATACTGGCATGTATTTGTGATGTATACATGAAAGACAGTTTAACAAGTGTACTGGTATTGAGCTTTGGGCAGCACTATGCATGATCAGTAGCACTAGGCAATACGCATGTACACTATTACATGTACTTAATGTGCTCTATGCACTAGGGCTCAAAATCCTTTTTCTGCATACCAGCACTGATGTACATTGTTGTTAACTCTTAGAATTATTCAACTTACTTCCATCTTTCATGGCTGTGTCTAGAGGGAATGTGTAGAGGAGTTGCTTTGCCTGAAAATGGAAAAAAAAGGGCAAAATATTTTTGATATCCTGATATTGACTCAATCATTTCTTTGGAACAAATGAATTGACATCACCAAATTTGCGGTAAATCAGCATGTAAAAACGTGATTGTGAAAAGTCACTGAGAACCTTACCTTGTGATTAAAATATTTTTCAAACTTGACTCTTGCCAGTGCAACACAGTCTGCCCATCTGTAGGGTCTATTCTTCAGTAGTTTCACAGACTGCACGGCTCCGTCTAACTGTGCCCCTCCCTTCAAGGTCTGCAACAATACAAACTCAATACTATACCATAGGCAAAAATGTGATGTCGCAGGTGCAAAACGGTAGATCATTTCCTATCGTAGGCTGGTTCTAGTTTTTCATTAGTGGTTACCGAAAAATTTTACACCCACTTTTTAAAATTAATTTTCTTTGAAACACTACTACAGTCATATTGTATGCCTGAACCATAACTAGATTGGAAAACAAGCAAGATAAGCAACTTCAAGAAAACATTCCTTCTTACCTGCAGGATTTCTGCTGGAGAGCCGTTGGTTGACCAGAACTTGTTGTATAAGGAAGGCTTCTGGCTGTACATGCTTTCAAACTGCCAAGAGATTCAATCATATCAATATGTTATTGGTGATGATCAATACATTCAAACAACTTTCCTACATAAAAACAATTTTAGAAAGCACATAAATGTACATGTAGGTACTTGACATGTACATGTAGCTTGATTGTGACATGGTAATGCTGTTTGAAGGTATGTTGCCAGGGGTGTCTACTGTCAATGCATTTTACTTTTTGTGCATGGTACTTCACAGTTTTTGCAATGTCCTCTTAACGCAAAATCATGACATGTGTTTGCATTTTCGAATGTACTACAGAATTATTTCTTCCATGAATTTTCCCTCATACATGTACATGTACCATGAAATACAAGTAAAACCACCACAAAAGTAAAATTTGCATTCTTTTTCAGTATACTGAGCTGTGTGTGTTCCCTACCTTGTCCCTGGCCCACTGGATGGTGTGTTCTATAACTGCAGGGAACGACTTCAGGGTACAGTAGGGGACATCATGGTCAACGGGATCTCTCTGCAGTGGGCAATATGTCATGTACTGAATCATAACTGAACAACTACCTTCAAGTTGGCATTTGACTATACATGTATATAGTAACCGTTGTATTGTCTATCAGCAGAAGAATAAGGTTTTAAGTTCCCAAATGTAAATTTGAGTATTGGCTGTTATCCTAAGAACTTTGGCAAAGATGAGAAAAGAAATTCTAGTCACCATGGCAGCAAGAACAGACTGCCTACATGTAACCATAATCAGAAAAACCACAACTGGCCATTGCTTCCTGTACAAGCTTAATTGATATTATGCTTTGACACACAATAAAAGAGTGAGATCTCTTCTACTTGTTTCCTGAAGGAAGAACACAATTGAAGGGGCCTGACATGACAACACATTCTACATTTTCAACATGACATTAACGTTTCCTTAAAAATTCATGAATGTCTTGAAGTTTTGTCTTGACATTTTCTTAAAGATCAATTGAATGTTTCTGAGTTTTGCTCAATGTTTAAGTTGTAAATATTGGTTTTCCTGCCTATCCTACCTGGCTGCCGTAGGACTCAGTGAGATGTGGTACGATGGTCTGTACATGGCCCTTTGGTCCCATGGTGCCTGACTCCAGCAGAGCACGCTGGTTACTCACACATCGACTGAGGAAGACAGGAAGCAGCCACAATTTTTCATATGGATTCACAAGTCATGTACATTTAACTACAGTATAGCATTTAAATACACTATAGCGCTTGCAGAAGGCAGTAATCATAAAGTAATCCTACTTTTACCAGTAACATACATGACAAGAACATAGAATTAGAAGGGGCAGCTATACTGGTTATACAGATACAGATAAAATATCAGAACTGTTCTATTTTTAAGTTTTCATTCTTGGCTGCTGCTACTTTTTACTTCTTAAGGGTGTTTTGCCTATATTTGGGCTGTGCAACTCAGAGACCAATACCTGTCCATGTATCTTCTTGCCTCCACATTGTCCAGAGCGTTGACACACAGGTCCTGGCTCTCAAAGAACGTGTCATTGTACAATTTCTCCTCTGTGTCAGGACAAACTGGGGGGGAGAGATGTCAATGAAACAACATCTTCAAACCTTGAATTATGAATTCATGACATGCCAAATGTAATTTTCATTAGGGATCTTAAGGCCTGGACTATTTCAGCCTTGAAACTGAAGCTTTCATTTTGTTGGTACCAAAAATTCAGTTTCTTCAGAATCAAACCATTTTGCTAAAAATCGACACACTGAAATAGCTGAAGTCCTTAGACTCATAGTTTGAGATGGTTATTTTCCTTACCTTTATGTTGATGTGGGTTGACGTGTAGATCTGAGGACATGAAGACAGAAACATAGTTATCAAATTGTTTTCCAAAAGACCATGATGATTTGTGCACATGTATTGTGTATGTATGTATTACTTATTCAATTTATGATAACATTACTAATTGTGCCATAAGACAGACACCTTAGATTTCCTATACTATTTCTCATTTAGCCACTCTTATGAAATGAAGAAACTGGCGAGCCACCTGGGTTAATCTCTAAAGCAGAGGCCGCAGCTGTGGTGCTCTTGGGTTGCTGCAGGAAGGAACACCAAAGGAAAGAAGAAAACATTGTAAAATGTTTCTATCTATTCAAACAAAAATATACTCCAGACATCAAGCTGATGAGGTATAACATGTTCTTGTTTATGTGTAACCACACTTCCTGTCCAGAAAGCAACATATTTGTGTCAATCAATCAAACATCCAAAAGTTATGTGTTCTTCAATATGCATGAAATATTTCAACGGATCTATCGCTCACAGACTTTTATATACTTCAGTTGTTAAAAACAAAAATCTTATAGCATAGCATAGACTACATGTAGCAGCTACTATTCCCATTAATGGCACAACAATACTCACCCGTATATGGTGTGGTCTGAAGAGAAACTGTCTGTTCAGGTTGGACTTTTCAATCAAATCATTGTCAGTTATGGTGATCTGGAAACATACATGGACATAAGTATTAAACCATTATGTTATTCAACATAGTAAAAAATTAGATTGCTTGAAGAACACTGGACACAAATTGGTATAATACAATAGAGTACATATCCTGACTGCTTCTACTATTTCATACAATTATTCTGTTGTGAGGTCTGCTTTTTTTAAGGGGAAGAAAATGTTATACTGTATTTACCATTCCATCTGCAGCTGAAGCTACCCCCATCAGGGCATAGTTCTTTAACATCTCACAGCCTATTGCACCACAGCCAACCTGTAAACAGTAAACAGACACAGAACTTTTACTGCTCTTCTCATGCACTGCAGAATCTACAAAATACCAAGTAGTTCCTTTCCTACACAAACACTGAGAGTTAAGAAAACACGATCTTAGAGATATAGCTGTACAATCATGTAGAGCTTGATCAACTTTTTAACAAACAAGTACCAATACATCATTATAAAAATGTTTTGCATACTGACAGTTGAGTAATGGCACATGGCTAATATTCAATTTTTGAACAAACAAACAAACAAACAAACAAACAAAAAAACACACAGATAAAGATATTGTCTCACCATAAACAACTTTAAACTAGCTAGCTTCTTAAGTAGGTCTTCTCCTATACACATCCTCAGAGCATCATTACGATCACCCCTGCAACAGATTTAAGAAATATTAGTATACATTTTCACATGGTAGATGCTATGCTAATTCAAATAAATTATTGCAGCCGCATTGGAGCTCCATTGCAGTGTCAGTGTAAATGTCATTCAGCACCAAGGACATGTACAGTAGTGTCTGTGTAAATGTCATTCAGCACCAGGGACAAGGACAGCAGTGTCAGTGTGAATGTTATTCAGCACCAGGGACAGGGACAGCAGTGACAGTGTGAATGTCATTCAGCACCAAGGACAGAGACAACAGTGTCAGTGTAAATGTCATTCAGCACCAGGGACAAGGACAGCAGTGTCAGTGTAAATGTCATTCAGCACCAGGGACATGTACAGTAGTGTCAGTGTGAATGTTATTCAGCACCAAGGACAGGGACAACAGTGTCAGTGTGAATGTCATTCAGCACCAAGGACAGGGACAACAGTGTCAGTGTGAATGTTATTCAGCACCAGGGACAGGGACAACAGTGTCAGTGTGAATGTTATTCAGCACCAGGGACATGTACAGTAGTGTCAGTGTGAATGTCATTCAGCACCAAGGACAGGGACAGCAGTGTCAGTGTGAATGTTATTCAGTACCAAGGACATGTACAGTAGTGTCAGTATGAATGTCATTCAGCACCAGGGACAAGGACAGCAGTGTCGGTGTAAATGTCATTCGGCACCAGGGACAGCAGTGTCTATGTAAAAGGGCCATTATCGTTGATGTAGACAAGTAACCAGAATCAAGATGAACTTACTTTGGCTGTAAACTTTCTAACTTTGACTCTAACTCTTGACAGACCTCTACTGAATCCATGTAGAGCTGCAGAAAAAAAAGAAATGTAGAAGGAACAAGATTATGTAAGATGAGTCAACTGTACTTCTGCTTTGGCTTCTTTTTCTGACTTCTACAATTGACAATCAGCAAGCTAATTAGTGCATCTTACACATCTTAAGAAACAAGAAATAAACAGTATAAACCATATGTAAAACGCACATAGGAAAGTTAATCGAGATCTGAGCTGTATGTTGTAGTGGTGCCATGTTTATTTTATTCTTACTAGTAGATGAAGCACCAAATTTTTACCCATTGTTTGAGAGGTGTGAATTTGCCAGTTAGAGCCTTGAGGACCTCCTGTGCCAGTATCCCCCCCATAGCTGCTGTCAGGGGGGCAAAACAGCCCTGTGCTGTGTAGGACAGCCAGGTCAGCAGTCTGCTGTCCACATTGTCAACCTAGGAAAATAAAATTTGCAATAAAAATTACATTTAAGGTACATGTACAGTTCGTTAAACATCAAGGCATTTTATTGTGTTCTACTTTTATTGTAATACTGGTCCCTTAAACTTGGACCATGTAATAGAAGGCATCCTTTTCACTTGTCACAAAATATACTATATATTATAAATGTCACAAACTAATAAATTTAACTACATTATATATATAAATATAATGTAGTTAAATTCTACATGTAATTACATTTACAAAAAACTTTTTATAAAAAGATCAATATACATCTATCACTTACATTAACATTTGAATGCTTAGTTTGTGACATTTCTAGTGTCTCAAAATCTACATTAATTTTACCACAGAGTAGGTTTCTCTTCTACTTAAAATTCACTCACTTTTTCATGCATCTTGCTGTTAAGTGATTGGGCAAGCTCCACCAGTTTGGCAGCATCTTCTGAGTTTCTAAAGAATAAAGAAAATTACAAAAAATTCTACAAACTCAGATCCATAATCTCAATAGAAACTTTTCAATCTTTGTCATATTGATATCCAAATGTATTGTGTTGTAGTGTCATATCTACATGTAGGTTGACTAAGACTGGTAAAGTGATACAAAAGACTGTTTTTATTAGAGAGTATTTTATGTAGTAATTGGCTGGACAATTCTTTTCATCCATATTATTTTTGAGGCCATGTGTATACATTTGTACATATTTCCTTATTCAGTACAGTCATGCAGTTCATTGCAATGAAATGAAAAGGAAAGACAATAAGTCTCACCCAGGTTTGGGAAGTCTGCTGTATTCCTCCTGAAACTTGTGCAGTGCCCACATGCCCAGGTGTATAGTGGAGGGGGCCTGAAGTACACATTAAACAAAACAAGGATCATTCTTCTTATTCATCAATAACAAATAGGAAAATGGTTTCAATGACAATTCAATAAATCCTGTATTGTACAGTATTTCCACTGGAAGGAAACATTTTGTATGAAAAGAGTGGTTCAAACATTATTGTACTTACATGCATTTTGGCGAAGTCGACCGTCAGGAGGTTTGGACTGGTCAGCTGTTTCTCAAGGGACTCCTGAATGTAGGATAGCAAGATACTGAGTTGTCCTCACTTTTGTGGACAGTACAGTTAACAAATGATCCAAAGATTCACTACATGAACATGTATGTACTTTTGAACCAAAATTATACGAAAGAAACATTTGTCAGTATAATGTATATTATGGGGAAGTACACAGAAAATACAAAAGATGAGACTTGTGTACTGTAAAATATTACGTAGATGTGAACAAATAAAATGGTTTCTCATGACTCGTGAGTTTTATAATACTGTGGACAAATATATTACTTACAAAGTTGATTAGTGTTGGTACTTTGACCTGCCGTGCGATGCCGCCATGTTTGTAAGGCTGGTATTTCTCAGCAGTGGTGTCACAGATGGAGAAGGCGTAGGGGGATATCACTGCAGAAAATGGTACTTGTGGTTTAGTGTTGTTCAATCACATGTCATCATCATCATCATCATCCGTCGTCCCTGTCGGGCGGGGTAAGTTGCTGCACGACCGTACTCTGTCCGCCATGTAAAATCTAAAGGTTCTGTATTCAAATCTGTAGCTGACCTAATTCTGTGCCCTTGAAAAGCATTTTACACATTCTTCCCTCAATTCAGATGAAAATGAGTACCTAGCTTTGGTTAGGGATGATCTTTTAGTTGGGAAGTAAAGCCAGGGGATCCCTGCACATTAAAAAAAACCATTAAACTTATTGAGTAGTAGGTGTACATCCCTGTGGTTCAAGCCTTACAGCCCAGGCTTACTCTACTTACTGTACAAAACTGGTGCGCTATACACAAAGGCTGTTAACCAGTTATACAAAACAAATTAAAGGAGGCCTGCTCATGATCATCTTTCATCTTAAATAAATCAGACAAATACATTGTACCACCCACAGCCTTCACACTTACCGTTGATCTTGTGACTGGTTCCATTGAGAGCGTCCATCCCGACGACCTCCTTGAAGGTCACAATGTCGCCAGTCTCGAAGCCGTGCATGCGGTTCTCCAGACAGGTCACCACGCCGGGGCTGGCCTGGGGGTAGAAATCACTATGTTACCCTTCACAGAAGGAAAACATTCTTCTTGCTCTGTTTCATCTTCTCTAAACACATACGTGTTAAGTCAATGTCACCATGTAACTACAATGTATTGCAGTAGGCACCCTTTGGTGTTGGATTACATAGCTGGACAGAGTTGAAGGGCCTGGTCCATTTATTTGAATGTGTTTGGCTATGTATAAACGGACCAGTAGATAGGCTAGACTATGTGAAGGTGAACATTATTTTGCTTTGCAAATATTGCCTTTCTAGTTCAAGTCCATATTTCCTAATAAACCTAAACCTTAGTTCATCACGGTCATGTTTTGTCTTACTTGTTTACTCATTGCTGGGAAAACAAAAACACAACAATACATAATCTTTATATAAAATTATAGATATAAGTAGACTATATTTATAACCTTGGTCACTTTGGCCATGAAAACCTCCTTTGGTTCCTCCCCAGTGGCATCACACACCTCAAACTCATCGCCAAAGTCACAGAAGCAGCAGCAGAAAACCCCATACACATCCCCACTCACAAACTGTGGAAAAACAGACAACATAACTTCTGACTTGCCATATACAACCTTAATGAGATATCAGAAGAGTCATGTAAAATCACCAAAGAGCAACATCCTGATCTATACACCTAACAATTTGAGACGTTATATTGATTTCTGTTCATATTAAAACCTATATTTGTTCTACTTAATGGATAATAATTTTTATAAACCATGTATGATTTTAAAACCAATTATCTGACATTGTTTTACCTTGATAGGCGGATCTTGTGAGCGACAGAAGGTGTCCACCTTCAGCTGAAGCTTCAGACTGGCTTCTGTCAGCACAACACACTGGAACAGAAAACACAGGGGCATCAAGTCTGGGACCTTACCACCTGTGTCTGACCTTTTGTCAGGGCTAGAAATCCATTTTTGGGAATAGGTGCACTGGTGTACCCAACCTAAAAAATTTGGTGCACAAGAAATATTGTGGGTGCATCATATAAAATGAAATATAGTCAGCAAAAAGTAATTATGTTTCATTTCTAAAGAAAAGTACTACAACAATTAAATAATAATAATTATTTTTCTGACACTTAGATATGAAGAATATGCTGTATACTACATTTAATATGTTTACATAGGAAAACCTAAAAATATTTGGGGTGAATTATTGGTGAATTCTCACCATGTACATGCTCACACACACACACATACAAAATAATACCTCTGGGTACAATAATCCTTGCTAAAGCTAAGGTCCCAATTGGGAAAAGGGGCCCTGGCGGGTAGTTCCCGGGCTGTTTTTTACCACTTTCGGGCGGGACCCCGACATGGCCCCGCGGGGCACCCTGCGGCTACCGGGCTATTTTTTGGCCCGTCGGGGCCCCGAGAAGAATTTAATTCTGAGTTAAATTCTACCCGGGCCCCGCTGACAAAAAGACGCCGTGACCTCATCGTGAGAACACCGAGAGGTACCCCTCCGGTTGCAGGCATTCCACCGGGACACATTTCTTACGTCACAGACCAGATGAACAGAATAAAGGTGTGTACTTCGTAAACCCGGGTGAAATGTGTGACCTCACAGATCAAATGATCACAACAAATACGTGAATTCTGCATTACGTATAGGTCAATACAAGACATCGTCAGAGAATCTGCTGGGTACCTGCCGGGTGCCTGCCGGATACCGACCAAAGAGGGTGACAAAATTTCTAACAAAATGCTACTGAAGGAAACTTTTAATTGTGACCACGACAGCCGATGCCCGCTCGACTCCTGAACCCGGCCGGGGCCAGCCGGGGCTACATCCCCGACGGGCACCGGCGTAATTGGGACCTTAGCTTAAGAGGACTTCATTCCTAACCTGATATTCCTTGAGGAAAGACAGGTCAGTGTCCTCCCCAAGAGGTGCTGATGAGGCCTTCACTGTCACGTATGGGTTCAACTCAGCCAGCCTCCCTACACTGGCTTCAGCTCTGAAAATACAGCAGATTCAGAACACTTTCTGGTGAAGAGGGTAAAAAAAAGGCAAAGAGTATTACATGGAGAAACCTTCAAAACAGTATTACAAAACAGTGTTACAGCATGGTCACATTTGTCCCAGGTTGTTGTATGATTTTGATGCCAGAGTATTTCGAAGCAGGCTGTGGCCGAACTGCTATGCCCATTACAGGCTACATGTACATACATGTAGACATCAGAAATGTTCTCCAATTTTACCAACCCTGACCTGCATATGCAGGTGGCATTTTGAGCCCTGTACTGGTAACCACTAGATTACATATGTTACAATCCACACTGACCTGTTCCTCCCCTCTTTAACATCGTCATCCCTGAGGAAGAATTGTGTTCCCAGATCTGACACTGTGGCAGTCTTGGTATCATGGACTGTCAGGCTCTGGGAAATGAAACAAAACAAACACACTCTTAACAAACAAGAAGACGAAAAAAGACATTCCTTTCGAAAATCTTGAAAAAATTCCTAGCTCCCTGTACGTTGTCACAAGTCCCTATGTTAAACATATTTCTTACCTTGATTCCAGCCAGCACAATGTTCTTAGCTGAAAAATGAGAAAAACAAAATTAATGTTTCATTCCCAGCGAATAGATTAGAAATAACCTTTTTGGAATATACTCTGAAACTAAGGACAAATTCTAGGCATGCCAACAAAGTTTGTTAACTTAACCAGGTAAGAATTTTGCCTACAGAAACATATACATGTTATCTACTAGTACATACATGTACATGAAATATATCTTAGTTAATGACAGCATTAAGATAACCTTCTTGTACTAGCAAGTTAAACCTTCATATATTTTCACATGGTTAGATGTTTTAAAAAAGAGAAGGAGACAGGAAGTTAGACAGACAGTTTTGCCAATGTGCTTGTACTGACCAACTTCCACCCCCAGGCCTCCCATGCCACTGAGGAACACAGAGGACCTGGCCATCCGCACCATGGCACTGTCTCCCAGCACATACCGCTGACGACTGGGAACACAGCAGAAATGTGAACATCATATGTCAGCATAGTGTGTCAACAACAACATAAAAGATGCACGAGTACATGTATTTGCAACATTCCAAGATTTATGAACCACGCAGGGCTTAGAATAATGTCTGAATATTCAGGTTAATTGTGCAGGTATTTGAGCCTGGGTATTTCTGATGTCTACCTGTACCGGTCCAAGTTGTACTAGGTTTATATAATAATAACTTTATTGCGCAACAATTGTACAGTGTACAAAGTATGGCATCTACTAACGTAAGTAAGTACATGTCAACTACATTTTCATAAGGCTAATCTAATACAAAAGTGGGTGGCTAGTATGAGATAAGTATCAACTTATACAATCGTTTCTAATATCCATACAGTCTTTAATATATATCCCTATGTATAGCATGTAGGGGTTGTCACGAGTCAATGTGTATTTAAATTTTCTTTCCGAGTTCATTGTGGTGAATGCTGGGAAAGAATCTGAAAGTCTAGTATATAGTGCATTGCGTACATTAATATATTTAGGACACAAAATCAAAAAGTGATATTCATCCTCAATAAGCTCTGGACAAAATGGACAAACCCTCTGGTCATTGGGAATTTTATGGAATCTTCCGGTTTCTATACTAAGTTTGTGACAGCCAATTCTGAGTTTCGTGATTGCTCTACGTACGTCAAGTCTTTTTATGTTTGAAAGGTAGTTTTCTTGTTTATAGTGTTTGTTCAGTGTAGAAAGAAAGGAAAGTTTGGAATTGTTTTGAATATCGCAATGCCAATTTTGTATGTAAATATCTTGTAGTCGTTGTCGTAGTTGAGCAGTTATTGTATCTAAATGGTATGACTTCGGGTTTAGCCATATGTGTCCAAGACCATTGTAATTGAGGATATTTTTCACATGGACAATCCAGTCATGTTCTTCTAACATAACAGAGTCATATGCCTGCCGAAGTAAAGAATCTTCGGGTAGATGGAGTAGTCTACACGAAGGCCATTACCTCCTACCTATGAGGTATAAAACAAATAACAGTGTAACAGTTTTAGTATTATGCATGCTTTATAAATTCAGAGTGATGCAGGAAACATTTGTCTTGTGCAGGTAATTTCCAATGTTACTTATTACAAAATTATTTGACAAGGTCTTGCACATGTTGCATATATTGTATGATATTGTTTATGCTACAATGTATCTATGCAACTGATCCTAATCATGCACGTGTAACGCGTTACATGTAACGTTACCTGTACAAGGCATCATCTATCTCCATGGAGTCCATTGTGCTTGCTGCAGTACTGTCCAAACCAGGTAGGGGGCTGCTCAGCCTAAACCGCTTACTGGGGAAGCTCGTGTTGATGGATTTGACGAGAGAGGCACACAGCAAGAAATCTGGGGTCTGGGGATAAAATATTTGTAAAATTTATGGTCATGTAACTGCCAATCACTGAATCAGCTTTCAACATTTAGATAGGACAGAAAGAATTGTAAACCATGTATCATAAGCTCCATATGTTCATAAATCTACGACTGTCTCAACAACTTGAAGAAGGGAGAATCGAATCTGTACATAGTTCACATTAGTCTGTATAATTATTATCACTGTTAAACAACTAGGCGAGCTAACCACTGTGCCAAAAGGTCCGGACAGCTTAGACTGAGTCAGTTAGCTTGAACCTGACTGTTACAACTGAAATTTTGCTTCTGCTTTAATCTCCTTGCTTGAGAACATATAATTACATACAATAAATCATTGTCATGATATTATTACCACGTAACAGTACATTTATGATAAGCCAACACTGTATTCCTGTGAACCTGATGTAAATCACACTCAGGGCTCTAAACACCACCTGCATATTTACAGTAGTGCAGGTAAAATTACAGCCTGTGGCCTTATATCTATCAGGTGGGTGAAGGGTTGGATGAATAGTATATGGGTTCAGTTAAGTTAGATATTTGCTGAGAGTATCACAATACTAAAACCCAGACGCTCAGTTCATGAAGCGAAAGCGTGAAAATAGAGAGCTGTAACAGTTACCTGATGTTCTTTTTTTTAGGGAGTGAAAGTCCACACCCCCCACCCCCAATATTGTCATTCATAAAAATCTTCACTCGGATAAAATGAACGATTTCCAGCTTAGTTCGTAAAACGAAGACCTACCTTAGGACCACAGCTGATGTTCAGTAGTACCGGTGATGTGAGGCGGGCCGCAGATTTTGTAGTTACAGGTGATGATGTCAGAAAAGGCGACGAGATGTTCGTCACGCTCCTCCTACCGGTCTGCAAGACAGACGGTAGTAACACATTCACATCCGCGCATTCTGCGCATTTACCCGGCCGTGCACTGACGACCTCTAGCGGTATCAGCTTCAACAACAGAGTGAATGACTCCAAGCAGAGGCTGGTGGGGGAAGATTGTGACTTTTCCAATGTGCCCCGTTTGCGGGGGTGTTAGCGACAGAAAAAAGGGCATATTAGAAAGGTCACAATCTTCCCGGCCACCAACCTCTGCTTGTGGACAGTAGATCATATCCTCAAAAAACCCATGCCCATGTAACGTTACCGTTACAATTTCTATTGCTATTCATACCGCTATTTCATTTCTATATCAACGTCTCGTTTCAATCGATAATGTTTTTTTCCAACACAAAAACTGTTAATTTTCAACATAATGATTAAAAAATACAATGATTGCTTCACCTGAACTGGAACAGGTAGGTTTTCAATGGCATCACAGACCAAGCGCTGTCTTCCGTAGTGTGATGGTGTCTTTAGTTGTGACTGTCCTCCACCGGTTGTTAATAATTACCGACGGACAGACCGGGATTCCAGTTCCAGACTAGATCAGTAACCAGGATCACCAGATCACTGCACGCCACGTCTTCAGGTTCAGTTCAGAATATGATGTTCTGAGGTTTGACAGTCACAGCTCATTGACTGTTACAAGGGTGTATACAAAATGGCAGACCCTCTCCTCCGTCACAAGATTCTTACATACTTTCTAGAGATCTATTCACAGTTTTAATTATATAACCAAGGAGCCTTGTTTTAACATATCTCTTACTACTTCTATACATATTTATATCCTTAAGCCTTGCTACGCACAATTCAATTTGCTATATATAGGTTGCAGCCGTATTAAGTAAATTCTACACCAGTAGGGGGGACACAAACATCTGACACAACACTAGTAAATAAAACCATTATCTTATATTCAGCTTATGCTTTTGCTTTGGGGCTTTTTGTTTCAGCCTTCCTTTTCTGTAGTCCCTGTACTTAATTAATGCATAGACACCGAGCCTACGGAGGCTTACTCTCCAAGCAGAGGTTGTGGGGAATGATCGTTACCTTTTTATATATGGCCGGGTTTTTTTTGTGTCCTGATCCCCACCAACGGTGGCCCGTCGGTGGCTAATGGAGCTTCTTTGGCTAATGGATACTGCCTGGCCAATTTGATACTGTCTTTTTGCCACCGAGAGGGATCTGCTTGGAGATTAACGGAGGCTAGCGCTACGCGCTCTATAAACCAACAGCAGTTCACAGAATCAATATTCCTCCCCCTTAACCACACACTCGAATCCCCCTGCCAAACCCCACCCCGCCCGACCTGTCTATAACACAAAACGAAACTACGTACTTAACCGCTTCCCTCCTCATTAACAAGTCCAATATCAATACAAGGCAAACATATATATAGTTACAAATGTATAACATTATCTGACTTTAAGTGCTAGGAACATGTAACTTGCTACTTTCATTAATTTACATTATTTTCCAGAAAATACTTATAAAGGTCACCCAATATACTAATGACATATATAAAAAAATCCCTCTAAAATACAAGCGGCTCAAATCAATATCATAAAACATTGATGATTAGAGTCTCCTTTTCTTTTGATTACGTACCATTTGTATATGTTTTGATCCCAATAATATCGTATTAATAATCCTAAATCAAAGTTTATCTTCTTTCAAGCCTTAGTTCCAAAAGAAGACTGAGTGCCATCCAAGGCGCAAATTGCACTCACTGACTCCTTGGGTAGGTTTTGATCGCTGTGTAGGTTCAGCTTTGGAGGTCAGCGAGTACAAGCAAGGAGACCCGTAAAAAGGAATGACACCCAGGCTAGTTCAAAAGAGCATCAATGCGAATTTTAAAAGTTCTAGTTTTTATTATTTTGTTTGTTTGTTTCTTTGTTTGTTCGTTTTTCCAGTAATTTGTGTGAGTAGGGTTTATACTCATAAACAACCTCCTTTTTGGTAGAAGTATGTGTGCTTGCGAGCTAGGCACATGATCAGGTTTCCGACATTTGGTCAAATGTGTGATTATTTGGTACAAATCTGCGATAAGATGCTGTCTGAATAAAAGGACGCTGTCTGAATTTTTTGACACGGTAATGAATTTGTCAGGCAAGCGTTGATGCTTTTTTCCAATTACTGTTATTCTGCGCCCTTTATAATAAATAGTTAAATAGATTGTGGGACGTCATTCAGTTGTGTTATAGGTTGTGGGTGAAGCGTGCGTTGTTTCCTATGGTGTGATATGGGTCCTCTCCCCTAGGATCTCCCACGGCCAGTAGGTGTTAGGTAGTGTGACGGACGCACCCCGTGGTGTGTTACGTGTTCACTCCCCTGGGATCTCCCAAGGCCAGTAGGTGTTAGGTGGTGTGAGGGACGCACGCCGTGGTGTGTTACGTGATTCCTCCCCTGGGAGCTCCCAAGGCCAGTAGGTGTTAGGTAGTGTGAGGGGGAGGGACGCACCCCGTGGTGTGTTACGTGTTCCCTCCCCTGGGATCTCCCATGGCCAGTAGGTGTTAGGTGGTGTGAGGGACGCACCCCGTGGTGTGTTACGTGTTTCCTCCCCTGGGATCTCCCAAGGCCAGTAGGTGTTAGGTGGTGTGAGGGACGCACGCCGTGGTGTGTTACGTGTTCCCTCCCCTGGGAGCTCCCAAGGCCAGTAGGTGTTAGGTAGTGTGAGGGACGCACCCCGTGGTGTGTTACGTGTTTCCTCCCCTGGGATCTCCCAAGGCCAGTAGGTGTTAGGTGGTGTGAGGGGGAGGGACGCACGTCGTGGTGTGTTACGTGTTCTCTCCCCTGGGAGCTCCCAAGGCCAGTAGGTGTTAGGTAGTGTGAGGGGGAGGGACGCACGCCGTGGTGTGTTACGTGTTCCCTCCCCTGGGATCTCCCAAGGCCAGTAGGTGTTAGGTAGTGTGAGGGGGAGGGACGCAAGTGTTCCCTCCCCTGGGATCTCCCAAGGCCAGTAGGTGTTAGGTGGTGTGAGGAGGGCGATGTGAGTAACCGTGACGTCATGACCCCTAGACAGGATTGCATCTGTGACGTTAGCGTAGTGACGTAAGCCTTGGTCAGCAAGCCGAGATACCAAAGCTGTACTCAACTGCCTTCGGGATCTTATACCTTCGACCTCGGAGGCGTTTCTGTAGAAGGGATTCCGCTGGCCTTTTAACTGTCCAGTCGATCCATATGTGGCCATGGATCGTTCGGACAGAGTAGTTCGCTGGTTTCGGAAGGCCAGCCGTTTCAATCTCCTGTTACTGATGACATCAAGCGAAAAATCTGCATCAGCATAGAAAGGCATGGGCCCACTCTCGTCATCTGGGATCTCACTGTAGGTGTGCTGTGGGGCAGGCACGGGGCGCTGTGCGGCCGTTTGGTAATCCGGGATCTCCCAGTATGTGTGCGGGAGGGCGGGGAGGAGGCGCTGGGCAGCGGCCATGTGGTCCGGGATCTGGCTGTAGGTGGGTTCGATGGACTGTAGAACAGCCGGCAATGACTTACAGGACGCCGCATCGGTTGGGGCGGCCTCGCGAGTGCGCGCAGGGAGGGAAGCTGTCCGGACCACACCGGCATCATCCGGGATCTCTGAGTACACGTGTGGGAGACCAGGCAGAGGTCTCTGAGCACAAGCTACGTCATCCGGGATCTCACTGTAAGTAGGTTTGATGGAATGTAGGACTGCGGGCAATGACCTACAGGAGACAGCGTCATCCGACGCCATCTTGCCTGCACATGCAGCAGGGAGGGAAGCGGACCTCAGCAAGCCGGGGAAGGTAACGCCAGGGGGAATGGTCCAAACGTGTGCATCGTCGCTGGTCATGTCGTCCTTAGCGTTCAACCTTGCTGCGCGCACCTTCCACAGCAACACTGCAAGGAACGACATGGCCAGAACGGCCACCGCCGAGACAACAACTGAGATGATAACATGACCTGGTACCTGAACCACCTCTAGGTCTGGCCCGAGAGTGGTAATACTTATCACATAAGAGTAGTCCCTCGGTTCTGACGATGTGTACTCTTTCTCTGTACTTTTAGAGTAGTGTGCCAGCCTACTGGAATGGTTCTTACCGATTGTGTAACAGGTTTCTGTTGTGGGAGTCTGGCGCAGGACTGGGAAAACGGTGAAGAACAACTTTGTGTGTTCATCTCTGGTGATGTAGATGCAGGTGATGTTCATTGTGTTGTCGTGGGTGACATTTGTGTGGATGGTGTACGTGTCAGACTCTGTGGTGGTGAGTGTGTTCGTGTCTTGTGTCTGAACAAATGACATGCCAACTCCTTCAGAGCCTGTAATCTCTGTGGCCATGGAAACCAATCGGAAGGTTGATTTCCCCATCAGGGGCACTGCGATTCCCCCATCGTATTCCCAAACCTGCCTGCACTGCTCTAGCGTGTTGGTGTCCGGTTTGTCGGGATCCAGGGAGCCACTGCCGGTAGCCAGGACAACTACAGGAGGCTGGATGGAGATCGTGCTCAGAGAACTGCCCAAAACACCACATGATTTGCCAGGGTTGACCACTCCCGTGAAAGCAGCCGTGCTATCCAAAGGATCAAGCATCCACCCAAACGAGAGCTCATGAGCATTGTGCCTGGCACAGAACAGGAACTTGGGTACCCAAACGACCATTGTTACAGACCCTCTGAACACATTGGCTAATAGATTTAACCTCCATTTCACTTTATGTGGTATTGCATTGTGGACAGATGACAGCATACCACTGCTGACATGTAGCTTTGTGATTTTAGACTGTCCCCGGAGCACATCTTCATCCAAACATGATAGATCATTATCCCTTAGGTCTAACCTCATCAACCAAAGGTGTTGGAATAACCCAGGGGAAAGACTATAGATTGCATTCGACTTCAGAATCAGGACCATTCTACCATTCAGTCCAAAGAGCCAGGAAGGATCGACAGCCTGCAACAGGTTGTTCTCTAGATCCAAGACATTTAGGGCAGTTAGATGCACGAAGCTCCCTGGCTCGATTCGCCTGATGTTGTTGTTGGACAAAATCAGCATCAAGAGATTCTTCAACCCAGTGAACCAGGTTGCGTTGACATTAGTCAACCTGTTAGAATCTAAGGACAGTTTCTCCAGACTGGAAAACCCAGCGAAGGTGTTATTTTCCACATCAGTGATCTTTGCATCTATCAAAGCCAAAGTGAGGACCTTCGCCTGATCGAGCGGTGCCAGTTTCTTGGCCGAGAGGACATGGAAGGGGTATCCTCTTATTGCCACTTCATTGGCTGTAGCAACAAAAGGGAACGGACTCACAGAGGCAACGTCCCCACTCAGGGCCTCACACATGACGCATGTGCCGGTCCGAGAAAATCCCAGCTTGAGTGAGAGAGGCCCACACTCTCGCCACCCAGCTGTCTTACACTGAGGAAGACTTGGGTCACCTGAGGCTGCACAGCCCAAGAAAAGCAAGAACAACATGGCGTTTTTCGTTGCACCCCCTCTTGCATGCATTTCGTCTACCCGTATCTGAACCTTTCATCCAAAAACTATTTGTCACTTACCTAATTGTACTCGATCAGCAGATATGTAACCACTAACAAGCTCGTCACGGTCAGCTGAGCACTTCTTCCCTTGGTTTTTCGGGAAGTTCGGCACCTAGCAAGTTTCGCACCTCCAACTGCGGCGGCGACTGTACGTCCGCTGCATGTACCAGACTAATGACTCCTGAGCGTTGTTTAATATGCATTAATTTCGCGATTGACATATTAGGAATTGTTATTCTACAATAGTTCGGGGACCCAAGCTCAGACTAATTGTATCTTTTGACTATTAAAGTGCCCAGAGTCCTTGAAATGCGTGTCTAGCTGAAATAAACCCGCCATTACAGTGTGTTCTTATTTGCTTTTTTATTACCTTTGCCTTCGAAGGTTATGTTTGTTGAAGCGTTTGTATGTCGTTAAGTAGCATAACTAAAGAGACTATGGATGGGTTGTTATGAACTTTGGCGTGTATTTAGATATTGACCTGTGGAAGAAAAATTAGATTTTGAACCCCTATCGGCTCTCCTTGATACTGAGGCAGAAATTTCGGTTTTGATATCTCTTGTTCTAGACATGCTAGGCTCGTGATGTTTGGGTGGTAAATAGTTCTTGTTCTTCTAAATACGTGGTTGGTTTGGGGTCCCTAGCATTTTTTAAAACTGCCGGGCCTATGTCCGTTTGAGACATCGGAAGGCTATAACTACTCAATGATTGTAAAGGTAAATAATGGGAATTTTATTCCTGGATGTAAAGTACAACTGCACATGGGGTGGTAAGTACATAAGTACAGTACATAGAGAGATTGTGTGTTTTTCAAACGCAGCTAAATTAGACTTTCTATATATATGATCCACTGCTCACCGAGTCACATGTGTCATCTGCATAACATGTGGTCCGACAGAAGTGGTGGATTGCTCATTCCTTGTCAAATACTGGAGTTAACGCTGTACAGTTTAAATTTGTTTCATAATGACCTGGCACAGATGAATTTTCAACATAAGCAAGATGCCCCCGCATTCTTAGAATATTTCAACGCTATTTTTAAAAATGTGAAAGGAGATAAAACGTTTGCATGAAACCTGCGTGAAACAACATCATACCCTACCGTTGCTGCCAAGGCCAGGGTAGACTTCTTCCCCCAGTGAGTCATGAGGCAGTGCCACACAGGCACGCCGACACAGGCAGACACCTACAAGTCAAGTCAACATTTACTGCACAACAATTTTAACAGGTACCATGTAAGGCATAGCAGTGTTGTATATAAGACTATATCAGCTAATTACAGCGAAACATAAGGCCATGAATTTAACCATCCCTCTAGGTCTGCCGTGGGCAATCTTCTTTACCGATAGCCGGGATTACCCCACGGACGCCAGTTCGTCCGTCACAGTTCCTCTGCAAGTACTTTTGGCAGAAGAAACACCCTGTCGTACACTTTATACTATGTCTTTTTTAAATTTACTTCATATTCATCACGAAACAAGACTCATGGGAGCCACTCAAAAGTTTTGGGTTACTGTACTGCACATCATTACAACTATACATAAATCATGCAAATTAGTGCCTTATTTGCATGATAAATGACAACATACTATGATGGTATTTGTTATAAGAAGAATTTTTACACTTTGGACAACTTTTATTGTTTGGTTCGAGAAGATCATCAACTGAGATGCAAATGAGGATTCTTTTTTTCATTATCAATGAGCTAAGTCAACATCATTGGGGAATATATAATATTCTGGATATCAGGGGTTTGATATCAAATATGAAGCAAGAACCGAAGTAGGACTGAGTATATGGAATACACCCTGAATTTTGAAAAAATACACTTCGAGTATATAAAAAAATTTCATCCAGGTTGCATCCCAGCTTACTTCGCCACTAGTGTGTAGGTTGTATAACTAGGGTTTCCCGAATGTGACGCGATTTTCCAGTTTTTCATTCCACCTGGTTCTGCTGGACTCCTGCGTATGAAGGGATCCCTAATAAACTTCAATTTCCAAACGACTTAGGAGATCATCAATATTCTTGTGGCCTTCATCTGAAAAGGATCCGGACATTCGGGTTAGTGTTGGATAATGTGAAAATGGCCTGATAATGTCATTTATAAAACCCAGAAGGAAAATAAATGAACGCACACACAGACACATACGCAGAGAGAGAGTTTTAATCAACCTACCTGTCAAGTAAGGGTGTACCCGGGTCCGCTTTCCGTTTTGAGGACCCTTTTGTTGGGATAACTTCTTTAGCCCTGTGAAGAACGAACAGTTCATATGACATCCATTTAAGAGATATCTTTTGAAAACTTGGATCATACAGTTTATTATACACGCCAAATAACTGCAGTATACCAACCAAGCAACCGGCCGGCCGACAGACCGACCGACCAACCAAGCAGCCAGCCAGCCAACCAACCAACCAACCAACCAGCCAGCAAGCCGACCGACCGATCGACCAGCCAGCCAACCAACCAACTAACCAACCAACCAACCAACCAACCAACCAACCAACCAACCAACCAACCAAACAACCAACCAACCAAACAACCAACCAACCAACCAACCAACCAACCAACCAACCAACCAACCAACCAACCGACCAACCAAGCATCTTACCGCATTTTCTGCAGAAACCTGTTAGTAGAGAGTCTGCCGTGCTCCGTGATGGGGTACAGCCACAGGAAGATCAGCCCGCAGGCGGAGTACGCGGCCGGACAGATGGAGATCAGCACCCTGAGCGCCCAGCTGACTGACTCGGGCTGGCTACATCGTCCCGTCTTGTAATCTGATAATCTAAACAGACAGAAATGTTACAACTAGCAAATTGATGCCTAATCGTTAAATCTATTAAGTAAGATTTTAGAAGACTGTCAGACTGACTGACAAGACAACAGCAAAGATATCGTGTGTCAAATCATTATAGCCATTTTGAAACTTAAAGGATGGTATTAATCATAGCGTGTGTTATAGGCTGTAACATATTTACAGGAATTTGTATTTACTTGAGTGCAAATGCCGTCAGTCCCTGGGAAACAGCTTTCCCCGTGTTACTGAAAAACGAGAAGACACCGAAGAACAGAGACTCTTTACTGTTGCCTCGCTCTAACGTGTAGTCGTCTATGACGTCAGGCAGCATACTCCTGGAAGTCATACAAACAAGTTTGTAACTAGTGTAAACTAGTTCGCAATAAATGCATCAATAAATAGATAAACATGAAGAAGGCAATCTATCTCTCACATTTTGTTCTAGGACAAAGGGATGCATCGATATCAGTTTTCAATTGCACGATAGGTCGGTCAAGCGACTGTCGAGAAGCAAGGATTCAAGCAGCCGACTGTCTTCTCCAGAGGCAGGGTTGATAACACCCACTGACTGAAAATTCTTTGTAAGTTCCTGGATATTTCAAGTGCATTCTAGAAATTCTCACTACATTTAAAATATTTGTGTTATTGTGGCCGGACCAAATATTTGCGGGAGTTTCCCAATTCTTCTTGAACTCACCAGGGAATCAGCACGAACGGCGCGAAGAGCGATCCTCCGAACGCAGCGAGCGGCAGGACGGCGTACAGCAGACCGGGTAAAAACATCAGGCTCAGGGCGAACCCCAGAAACAGCTGCAGGGATGAGGGTGGTAAGTACATAAGTACAGTACATAGAGAGATTGTGTGTTTTTTAACGTAGCTAAATTAGACTTTCTACAACATATGATCCACTGCTCACCGAGTCACATGTGTCATCTGCATAACATGTGGTCCGACAGAAGTGGCGGATTGATCATTCCTTGTCAAATACTGGAGTTAACGTTGTACAGTTTAAATTTGTTTCATAATGACCTGGCACAGATGAATTTTCAACATAAGCAAGATGCCCCCGCATTCTTAGAATATTTCAACGCTATTTTAAAAATGTGAAAGGAGATAAAACGTTTGCATGAAACCTGCGTGAAACAACATCATACCCTACCGTTGCTGCCAAGGCCAGGGTAGACTTCTTCCCCCAGTGAGTCATGAGGCAGTGCCACACAGGCACGCCGACACAGGCAGACACCTACAAGTCAAGTCAACATTTACTGCACAACAGTTTTAACAGGTACCATGTAAGGCATAGCAGTGTTGTATATAAGACTATATCAGCTAATTACAGCGAGACATAAGGCCATGAATTTAACCATCCCTCTAGGTCTGCCGTGGGCAATCTTCTTTATTACCCCACGGACGCCAGTTCGTCCCTCATCGTTCCTCTCAAAATGCAAGTACTTTTGGCAGAAGAAACACCCTGTCGTACACTTTATACTATGTCTTTTTTTATTTACTTCATGTTTACCACGTGCACGAAACAAGACTCATGTGAGCCACTCAAAAGTTTTGGGTTACTTTACAGACAGTACATGAGGACAGATGTTTGTTGACCTTGAAAAGACTTGAAAAGTTTATGGTTATACCCATGTGGGAAACAATCACGTGGTAGCTTGTTCCATAGTGATGTTGTTCTAGGAAAGAAGCTCTCAGCGTGGAACTTTCTCCTAAGAGGTGGTGTATATAGGAAGATAGGGTCTTCTACCAATAGTGTATGGCGTAGAATCGACGTGTAGATTTCACTAGTTCAAAAGTTTATAGCTTTGCAGATTTAGCCATTGGGAAAGACACGCAAGAACACTGTAACATTCCTCTCGTTGAAGAAATGCAGTTGGAAAAGAAACAAGAAGCCATAGGTGACAATTCTCCGTGAAGTATTATATATTGCAACAAAAAGAAGTAGTCATTGGCAACAATTCTCTGTGAAGAAAATAAATTGAACAAAGAAAAATTGTTTAAACGCGCGTCGGCTCAGTCATCTTAAGTCGCAACAACCAATCAGAGATGCGAAATGCCGACAAGTGACGCGGGATTTGGCGAAGGGCGCGCGGTGCCCGAAATATTTTTGCGTCAATATTCAGCGCCGTGTTTCAAGAGATTAATACCGAGAAACAAATTCTTTTCTTGTTTTGAACGCATAAACATGCATTTACGCTAATCTAGTATGATTCAGGGTTACTTTTTTTTACCTGCCATGGCCAGATTATCTAAAGATGTATGTATTGTGTGTACAATCTATAGAAAGAGAAATGTACATCAGGTCCGATCATCCGATTTTCACGTTTCGGTTTTTTGGACTCGGTTCATGAACGTATTTTGGTTTGGCTCCTGGAATGTGCGAAAAAAATGACTCCCGGGACTGTCTACAGGGAACACTCGCACATTCGCGGTGTATCAGGACAGCGCGACTGGTCGGCATTAGCGCAGTCCCTGTAATTAGTAACAGTTGCACATCAATCCGGCCGAAAGCATGATTGTGTAACACAGGCTACTTCTTCATATACCAGCTCATACTACACGACGCCTAATACAACTAGCAAATCATAAAATTACCCGATCTACTAGTACTGTATGTGCGGTTTACCAGCCCCAGACCACATCCGACCACGAGGCAGAACACATTGATGGGTTGCTCAAAAATATTGTCCATGTTTACAAAGAGCTGCTCCACTAACACTATGGAGCGGCCCACCCAAAAATATTGGCCATGTATCGTTGCTAGGACGACCGGCCAGTTGCTACGTGACTAAATGCACGCCGCCACTAGGTCGCCACACCCGACCAGTTCGAAATCGATAGGATTACGTCATCGGTATTAACATTTCCTAATGTTGACCATCAGCCCCGCCGCGACTTACTACCGGTGACATAAACGGACGACAACATTTCAACGGCATGGGGATGTTTCGAAAATAACCATTTACTCCAATATCAAAACAGCTACGGTAAAAATAAAAAGACGTGCATCATCCCGGACATAATGCAACACCACATGCGAAATTACACAGAAATGCGACGTACGGAAGAATGCGTTTTGGCTGCGAACATCTTCCAAAAAACTTGGCATCTCTTAACCATGGGCAAAAACATCTGGAACCACTTATCAAAACCACCCCGTATCTGCATGAACTTTTACCCCCCCCACTGCTATTCCAAACAACGCGTTTTTCTGGACCATTCCAATTCGCCTCGTAATTGTAGGGGTGCGTCTGCGATATTACATTGACCGCGAAAGCAGCAACGGCAAAAATACACATTCGTGCATCAACACGGGCATGCCCGCAGACGGCGTATAAAATTGCGTGCCGATTACACAAAGAGAACCCAGTGTTTTGACTGCGAACATGAAAAATCAGCCGATCACAACACTCCGTCCGGAGGTCCTGACCTCCTTCACGGAGTAATTAAAGATCTCACCATAAACAAAAGCAGGACGTTTTGAACCTGGTATCCTAGCCCCAGCGAGTACTGCACGAACAAGGCTATGTTTGCTTCTATGCCCTGTAATTGATATCAGAAATAATGTTAATCAGCTGTCAAGATCCAATCTCAGAAGACGATGTCTATAGATAATTAATATTACTACATTTAACTGACGATATTATCATCCATATATTCATCATGTATAGTGTCCCAGACAAATGTTGTGTTTTCTGTCGACACTTACAAAAGGGCAATCAAAATCTTAATACTCACGAAAACCGCCATCCAAATGAACAGATCTACGCACTGTAGATAACGAAATGGGCGATGACTCAAGATCTCCAGCACACTTTGGAAGATGGGCTCTTTTTCTGTTGTCTCCTCTGCTGCGCCACCTTGAATGGTTTTTTTCGGTCAGTAGTGTATTATATACTCTCTGGATGACATTCATTCTGTATACTTTAAATACTATTCGATATATATACGCATGAATCAGACCGTGTCTTCTGTCGTTGTGTATAACAAAAATAATCAAACTGCACGGAAGGTCATGTGTATTTGTGTCTGCCACACATGACACGTATACTGTAGTATGTCCTCCCGAACACTAATGAACTACCCCCAACCATGTTTGGTAATATGTTGTGATTTGTGAGCAAGGTCGGTTGTGGTTGGTTGGTGTTCGGCAAGGTTGGCTAACGTTTCAAAATGTTGAAAACATCCGGGTGTGGACGGAGGTTAGGCCAGGGTTGTCTGTACGCGTGTTGAGGAGTAGATCAGCTAGCCTGGGTACCCAGGCTATAGATCAGCAGTGTTCGGGGTCAACTTTGTCTCAAATTTGTCTTAAATTTAACTCAAATTTGAATTGATTCGTATAAAAAGATACAAACTTGTCTAAATCTGGTCAGACTGCTCCCGAACTTTAGCCAGCTTTGGTTGGTTGTTGGTCGGGAGGAGGTTCTGAATGTGTGACAGGGGCTTTACCCAGCGGCTAGAACACTTACTGTATCGCTCAGTGGTTCCCAGCAGACTGGCGAGCGTGGTGACCAGAAGCAGGCAGCCGGCCACGCCTGCAGAGATCAAATAACCCTCGCGCTGAAAAAGTAAACAAACACCCCATGTCAAGGCTGCCGCCTATGATGATCTAATATGGTGACATCATCTGAATTTTTAGGAGTTTTACCTGTTTTTGAAGATGGGCCGGTTGTATTGTAGAGTTGGACGCGGTGGAGCATTCCAGGTGAAGTTCTTGGCCGTACGCAGCGACGATCTGTCCGTGGTACGCCACCCCGACAACCAGCCCGAACAACTGCGCAGCCGATCCTGTAAAACGCAAACCGTGCTTTCATTACGGTGACAGTGAACAAAAGGTACATCCTTCCTTCCTTCCTCCATATTATATCTCCCTATGGTGCTCGAATGCTAGAAATGCTCGCGAGCATAAGACATATTGTGTTGTCTCGCAGACATGTGAAGCTTCTTTTCTCCTAAAGTCAGTTCTAAATCTAAAAGAAGGTTGATAGTGCAACATCAGTAAATGAACTGAAAACTTACTGTAGGCAGTTATGGAGTCCCTTTCCTTGCTGTTGGTGGTCATGTACATCACTTTGGACTTGTTGGCCACGGAATAACACTGTAATAAAGACACCGTACGCTTGAGCATCGCCGTAAAACATACATATGGGTTTCTATCTAGTTCTATGTCTGAATGAGTTAAGGTTAGGATCAGGCACGGTTCTGGATAAACCCGTAAATCGTAGATTTTCCCCAGTTTAGACTATCCACGACCGTCCCTGAGCTTGGTTCTGGATAAACCACGGTTCTGAATACAACAATATATATATTTTTTCTGCCATGTGTTGCAGACACCAGAAGATCTGAATAGCTTCATGTAAGTACCAGTATGATACATATATGTAAGAAAATGATCAACGTACGTCAACCGCTAGACGGTTTAGCCACGTGTTGAAACGTCAAAAATTCACAAGAATCACATTCAAATTTACAAAAACAAAACGTGTTATGAAGAATATACTGCATGTAGTAACGTAGCTTTTTTACTCACACACTGTACAACCTCGGAGCTTGTCCAAATTAGAAAGTAATATGAAACTAGCCCGGCTTCGGGGAAAACTGGAACGTACCACCGCATGAAGTAGAGAACGATTTGAATGGGTAATGTACACCAGAGCCTAAAACCAAAGAAAGTAGAGAAAAATAAACTATTAAGGTAATCTAAGACAAAACAACACTTAGCTTTGTCCTTACTCTAATATAATGTGTTTCCAACACGACTCCCTCCTATTTCAAACAAAGACTGTGTCGACCAAGACTCCAATCGGATCTCAACAGGTACATTCTATCAGATCGGGGTCTCTACCTACTAGTATATATATTTTTAGTCAAGGCTTAAAGAGTCAAGACCTAGCTATAAATTGCATCATTCCACGCCGACTAACATGTGCTTTGCAATTGAGTGACCGTAGCGGGTTTCTTATGTACCCAGCTATTGTTCTACACTAGTATATGATATGTGAATGGAAAAAGCGATCGACTGAAAGCCTGAAACATTACCATGGTTTGACCTTTCCCCATCTGGTGTCCGTTCGGTCGATGAGATACCCAGCGACAGGTGCGGTCATGATCATGCACATCAGACTGGAGAAGATGATCCCTGATGTCTGCATTGGCGGTAACTGCAACATTTGGTCGGTTTTTGTTTGTTTGATAGAAAAAATGCATTGATTTATTATCATTCCTGCAATGTACGGTGTACAAGTGTGTGTGTGTGTGTGTGTATGTGTGGAAATTTGCGTGGTGCAGGTAATTTGCAATGTAATTAGGTATACAGAAAAAAGATGACTGACCTGAGCTACTTCCAGCAGGAAGACGTTCCCGTACATGGCCGTGATGGAGACTAACGCGTCGATAGAGAACGTAGCGGAGGCGTACATCAGCTTCTCACACACGGACACTGTCTCCGTCTCTTCTGTCGCCATTTCTCAAATAAAATGGTCTGATAAACTGGTCGGATTAGAATTTATGGGTCAGAACTAAACAGCTGTCAACAATTGAAGAAGCAAAACTTCGTATGATTTAAAGTGTAAATTTTCCCTTCAATAAATATACTCAACTTACGGCTGATTTAATTAGGTACACTATTCTTCTCTAATTAAAATGATACGTGTTATCTTGATGAGAGTAAAATTTCTACATGATTCAATACGTAATGTTAGTAATTTTCAGTATGCGTCGGTTCCAAAACTGGTCCGTACCCGGAGGGCTATTTGTCTGTTTGAGGTCATTTTTTCATCCGTCGAACGATTGCTTCTTTGTGACTCGGAACAGTTATGGACAGTATGCAACTAGTTTTAAGATAATTTCCTGATGTATATATCATCAACGATATGGACGGGAGTGTCACGCCTACATTAACACGTTACGTAGAACAGCCACTTGCTAACAATGGGGGTCATTATTTAATATACATACGAAGAAATTAAACAGCAGTTAACGATGGCTATCTAGTTCTTTCTTCGGCACCGCGAAAGAACAATCAGAGAGTGTGCCATGACATCGTCTTTTGGACGTCCATATAAAGGTGCTAATTCAAGCATACACAACAAAAATATACAATAAGTAATGAGCTCTTCTTACCTGAGGTATACTCGTGGCTGATTGACTTTTCAGAGTTTACAAAATGTACAGGCCGCCTTTGGTGTCAAGGTCATGGCACTTACAACTTTAGTTGGCCCGTAGCAGATCGAGCCCAGAAAACGAAATACATGTCCACCTGCACAGTGTCAGGCTCGGAACCGAATACAGGTGACAGGTGGGTGGACCCTTGCTGAACAGTGGTGGCTCGCTGGGGCACTGGTTGTACGGCTTTTGCAGAAGGCGTAATCTGGTTTGGCAGTATTCAAACGTCAGACCTCTACCAGCCTTAGGCCATCCAGGTATTTTGTTTGGCAAAACATGTTCAGATAGCAGAATGTAGACCATGCAGGCTTCCATCGGACTTTCCGAACAGAACGTTCTGTTGCAGTTCTTTAGAATGAACTTTAGAATGATAGTGCCACTCATACGACACTGATTCTAAATCTTACATATTCTTCATTTACTAACGCAAGGTTACCAGTTTACGGTCGAATTATGGAAAATTCCATTTTTTGTGAAAACGCATGGGCAGAACTAAATATTTAACCCATGTGAAGAAACAGTAGTTTGTCGGTTATAAAAGTGTGTGCCGTGTCATTTCTTCCCTGCGTTTTTTGTGCCGTGCCAGCTTTTATTTATTTAGTAGTTAACAGTGGAGAATTGCTCTAGGGTGACCAATTAACGGTCACTTGGACCTTTGTCCTTGTAGTGCTCTACTTATAAGCGCAAATAAACAAACACCTTCTGCAAAAAAATACCGAAGTGGTCAACAACAAACCACGGTAAAATGTCAGTGTGTAGCCCACTGTCCCATGCAGTAGCGCTGTGGTGCTAAATGAGGCTGGACCTGCATTTTTCCCTCAGTAGAACGTGACATAATGGCCCAAGATGTTCCATAAAACCGTTGCAATAGATTACAAGCGTCTATGCCCCTCCAGACAAAACGGAACGTCGTGAAAACCCGAGCAAACTTTTCGCTGCGGACGCAGGAAGCCATTTTGGCATTTTTGCATAAATTAATGGGCAACAGCGCCACAGTGCGACTTTTACAAACCTTTCTGCAGTTCAAAACAGTGACGTCACCTGATGTAACGATGATGATGATTAAAATGGCGTTCGAAAAACGCTAGTCGGCGACAACTGTCGCTGTTTGTTTGTTTGTTTGTTTGTTTATTAGATCTCCATTATATATCTTTTGCTCATTTATATCTATGAAGGTGTTTGAAAGTTTCATACCTCAGAACACCATGGATGATTGAGATAAGAAAGCCAGGTTTGATGCCAGCTATTGTTACAATTTCCTAGCATTCTTGGGATTTTAAAAAATCGACGAAATGTTGAGTATTGTATTATGTGAAAAACACAACATGCGTCCAAGTCCATGTTACCTTGCTGTCCCGTCATATCGGAAGATACTCTTCTGTGTCGCTGAATGCAAACTTATTCCCATCCAGTGAATAAATAAAAGACACATATAAGGATTATATTCATGTTATTCTTTGTTGCTCACGACCGTTGATTTTTGGCTGGTACATCTCGAAGTGTGGCCGTGTCACTAACTGACCGTAAACTGGTCCTGCACGTAAACTGGTAACCTTGCGTTACATAAATGCCATTTCTCTTACTAGTTCTTGTGAATTTGTCTAGAAATTATCATTAGGAAAACTAAGTCCTTTTAACTTTGGCACTGATAATAAATGTACCATGCATGTAATTGTTAATAGTTTGACCAAATAAAACACATTCTCTGTCTCAGTGACAGAAGGAACCGACAAGCAACACAAAACAAAGTTGTTTGCTGAGCTCTTTATTCTGTGAAGATACCTACATGTAACTGTTGCGTGCATTTTGGTTAGAGGAGACCAGTGACATTTTACTTCGATGAATCACCTGGAAAACAGCCACTCTCATAATGAACTAATATTCTGTGATTGACAGATGCCAGTCTGAAAGTAATGTTTCATTTCACTTCCTTACAAAAACAGAAAGAAAACTCAGCTTACAATTCATTTGTTGCTATGTTGGAATGGCAAGAGCCTGAAGCTATTTTTCCCTCACTGATACCAAAATCACAACTATTAGTTTCCACTTACGGAGTCATTATTATCTGATATATTCAATAATATAAAGCCTCAAGGAATGCTATTTAAGGCTAACTTGTACTGAATTGTGTTAATTAATCATCATGGTGTCAGCCATACAGACATACATGTATGCAAAATACAAATATCTCTTTTGATCAACTGTAGAAATTCAAATCAGCACACTGAAAGCATTGAAAAAATGACAGATGCTTGAATATCCACTGGTTATCCACAAGTTGAGGCAAATTCTAAGGAGGGTTTAGGAGCATATGGGAAATTAGCATGAAAGTTCATCTGAGTTGGTAATTGACATATTGAGAAATAAACTGTTCTCCAACTCAAAAGAATTTGACTCACAAAAATTTTCCATGAAGACCGAGAGCTTTGTTCGAAAATCCTGGTGAGTCAAATTCATTTACATATTTCTGATAATCTAGAAACTGTGCTGTTACATACATTTTTGTACTGTTACGACCCCCTCCTTAGGACAAACTTCAACAGGCACATTTATCTAATGCTACGTATCTTTATACACATCTATAGTATCAATGCCAACAGTCTGAATCAAGATCATTTCTAATACTACGTGTAGATCTGCAGTTGATTTTAATTGGTTGATTCTCTGCTTAATTGTTGGTTCTCTATGTTTCCACCGTCTTGTGAGCAGGTCTATGCGATGGCTTTGGCTTCAGGGAGGAACCCTTCCCAGTACTTGATAAGCTGTAGAAGGTAGGTGAGAGATAAAGTTAGTCTTAATCTGAAACAAAGGCAATAGAAACTACAATATTAAGAATAAATGCAAGAAAACAGTTTATTTGGTGATACCAGACCTTTCACACAAGCTTTAACCATCTAGAAAAGCTAAAAAATACATAGTGCACCAAAATTACATACAAAACCCACTTATTATCAAAACTGTGGGACTATCATATAAACATCAGATATATATTGATTCTCTTTTCACACTATCATATTTGTGAGTTCCCTTGCCCTTAGGGCATGCATTGGCAAATAAATAATTCATAATTTATATAAATGATATTGAGTATTTTTTCTGACCTGTTGCTGACTGTTCATGAGTGTTTCCATGTACTTGATGATAATGTTGCGGAAATCTTTCACACGGTTGGTCTACATGGACGGGAAAAAGGAGATTACATTAACGGCACCACAATCATACAGGTACACATCTTCGAGTAACAAAAGAGCAACACGGAAACATTCTTGACTTCCAATTACAGATTTTTTTACACAATACTCCTCATGTTTTTGGAAAAATTTGTTCCAAGGATGAGGTTGAAAATAAACATTTAACGATCTACAATACACAAGAGGTCACTGACCTCAAACCTCCTGATCTCTGTGCGGATTGTCTTGGAGATCTCCTCGAAGTCTTCTCGGCCCTTCTCCACCTTTCCTTCCCACTAAACAAGATAGGTGTAAAGGTTAGAGGAATAAATTTTGTCATGATTTATCTTAGTAACTACACTTTTACGTACACATTAAAATATGAAAATCATACTTAAGCCATTCTGTCTATGAGGACCATTGGAAACTCAATTGATTTATTTTTACCAATACTACAAAGATGGCAACCTGAAATATTAATGAGCAACCTAGCTTTAGGTTGCCTTGTGGGTAACCTGAGAAAAAAGTATTTGGAACCTTGAGAAATAACTTATTTAGACACAGAAATCACCCAGGGAGAATGTGTTAGTCCCCCACCTCTCTGATCTCCTCCTGTGCCTGGGCGATCTTGTCGGTCTTGCCCGTCTGTTTGAACTTGGCCTCCTGTTCCCGCTTCTTGGCCAGGTTCTGCTGGGCGTTCTGCCAGTTGTGGAAACTCTTCACTCGCTCGTGGAAGACAACCTGGTGGGAAGAAGGGTGTAATGCTGTTAGTAATTCCTGATTCCTTTGCAATACTTTTATGCTTACGGTTTTTTGTGGTAACTTCTGTACCACAAACTTATCTTTCCCGTTAACAAATAATTTGCTGACTTTTTTTATGCTCCTGTCATTACCTACTCTTCTTGATAAGCATTTTGTTTTTTTTACACAATATTAAGTTGATAGTTATCACTTCTTACCCTAATGGACTGGATGATTCCGATGTAGTCCTTCAGGAGTTCAGACAGCAGGAAGAAATCATTGTCTGCCTGCTCCAAATGAACCTGGGGAAAGGAAGAAACCAAGATTGGTTTAGAGATTGAACATTTAGCTTTATATATGTACTTTTACAAAAATGAATATTGACTGTCACAACTCAAACAGGAAACCAAGAAATGACCAACATTAAAACAAAGTGTAAGTGTGTGTGTGTGTAGGAGTACCTAATTTGTGTCTTTCTAATGAATTCAATGGCATAGAATAATCAAGCAGCCATTTGTAGCAGACCTGTTCAATCTTCTCCTCGACCTCAGCGAGCTGGGACAGGGCGCGGGACAGGGCCGTGTGTTCCTCACTGTTACTCAGCATGGCTGTGCTCTTCGCAAAGGCTGCCGTGCTGATACCAAGCTCTGAGGAACAAAAATACAAAACTTTCAGCTTTCTCTGAAGAAACCAGAAGGCAATTCTTTTTTTTTTTTCTTTGCTTGACTTCAATTCATGTAGGGTTTATCTAGCAAGGCTACGGAAATCTCAGTTTCTGTATCATTCTGCTACTTTGATTGCACAATTTCTGTACAACTCTTACTCACAGTAGTCTTTTCAACAAGTGTGATGTGAGGGGTTACTCTCCTTAACCATTGGACTTCTGGCTTCATGTCCCATTCAAGAGGACATCCCTAACTACATGTAGGTGCTCATTTTCAGCCATAAGCATGTCACCTGAGCCGAGTAAGGAAATAGGTGTAAAGTGGCTTTCCCAAGGACACAACAGTGGTGCCTGCCAGGGATTCGAACCCAGAACCTTCAGATTCTGAATCCACAACCCGACCACCTTGCCACCTACAGGGTTACAGGGTTAGGCAGCAGGGAGAAGGATAAAAGAGACCAGACCTTTCCTGTAGGTGACCAGGGCCTCCACGCTGGCGTGTAGCTTCTTCAGCTGCTGGTCCAGAGCCTCCACCTGGTTCTGTTTCTCCTCGAACCACTGGTCCGACTCGTCCATCTTGATGGTGACCTTGGACAGGGTGTCGCCCACGCCCTTGATCAGTCGCAGCACGCCCGCGCCGCTCACCGCCGAGGTACTGGTGGCACGCGGCAGCTGCAGGGACAAAGGTCATAGGAGAAAAATTCATACAGTTTTCAGATCAGAGAACCACTAAATAAGATGCATAAAACCTGCAATGTGGTCTTACAATTAAATTGTACATTAATAAAGATTCATTCATCAATAATTTATGAACAAAGATTCATTCATTAATAATTTATGAATCTTAGACGGTCAATAAAGCTATATCAATCTCAACTACCACAGTCTCATCTGTAAGGGCATAAAAACTTAATCTTGTGCAGTCGCAATAAGAAAAACTCATACCCAGCAAGTTCCAATGAACTGACAGGTCACTGAAAGCTTTAGGAACTCAACCCTGCACATAGAACTGCCTTAACAGCAATTATATCACAAAAAACCAAGACTTGCACAATAGTTGTAGAAACTGACCTCATCCTGTTCCAGGAAGTCCCTGAAGTCTGGGTCCATCTGAAGGACTGGGTGGATACTTATTCTCTGCAGGAACCTACAAAGTCATGGAGTTGTATGAAAGAAATGTTGGATAAATATTACCTGACCTGGGTAAAACCTCTAATGTTACTTTGTCTATTTCATAATTTTGGATTACAAAAACCATTACAAGATTTCCTAAGTGTCTCCACAACATCAGATTCCGTCCCACATCTGTACCTTTCCAGGAGGGCCCTCCTCTTCTCCACAAACTCAGTGGAGCTGGTGTCTTCCTTGGACATCTTGATCTTAGTCATACCTGCCAAGAAACAAACAAAGGAATAAGCACAACCTTTCAAATGGTCAATGGTCTAAACAAACATGATTCTATTGTCTAAGCACGTATATTTGATGTTAAATTACAGCTTAATAATTAGGATAAGGTACATTGTACAATGTATGACAATGAAGCTTCAAGATATGTACAGTATTCATAGAACAAGGCAATGAGATATAGCAGACCTCAGACAACCAGAGAGACAAGCCAAAAACCAATACCTCATTCCCATGAGCGTAACAAGGAAAGACCAGACTCACCAACAACGCTCTTCTCAGGAGCAGGTGGCACGATGCGGCCCACGTGGACGTGTTTCTGCGAGAGTTTCTCGTGAAGACCGAGGAAGTCGCTGAATCGTCGCGTGACTGTCATGCTGGGGCGCCTGAACGCTGGAATGCTAGTCTACATCGTATATAGATTAACTGGATTAGTATCACAGAAATCACAAAGATACATGTACCACCAGAATCAGGAAAGTGAGAGGTATAGAAAGTATAAGGTATGAAAAGTTTGGGAGAGACAGACTTTATGTACCTCCGTATGTAGTGTATACATATGTATGCAGCACTCACCTTTTTTTCCTCTCCAAAATCGAGACACTTGGGTGAAGATTAAGAAACTGATGACTTATTACATGTAGGTAAGCTCATTCACTCAGCAACAACTCTCACTCTTAAGAGTACAGTTCTTCTTTCAAGCTGACTTTTAACAACACATTTGGCATGTCCTATCCTAGCCATATCTATACAATTTGCTTGGGGTTGTAATAAGATAAGTATAGCATCATTTTCACAGAATGTAGGCAAACAGAATGCCAGCTCGAATATTTAGCTTGCACACTGGTGACTCTATGCCTTTAAAATACTGGGTGTTCACAAAAATACACACTACACTGCTTTAGAAGACCAAAGTATAAGATAACGAGTCTGTCTTATCGTCAGTAATTATACTAAATACTAGGCAACTGTACAGTACATGTTGTCCTCTCACCTGAGTGGTGACTTTATAACTCATGTAGGCCCCCATACCATCACCTGGGAAAGACAGGCAACATGACTGTTTTGACCACATCTAAAGATCACCTTAGTATTAATACAGTAAGATGTAAGAAAAAAAAAAACACTTGCCTATAATTACACACAAACACACACATATTAATGTATTACTACAGGCCAGTGCAACGTGTACTCTATGCAAGATTAAGATCATGTTTATATCATCTTTATGCTCAGAAGCAATCCATACAGTAGTAGACTTTGAATTGCCTACCTGGATGTCTAAATGATGCCAACATGGCAGAGCTATGAGATACTTGATACTTGAATCACATAAGTCATAAGTTATTATCTATATACCATCACTTCTCCTAAATCTGTGTTGCTGTTGATATGACAGTACAACAGGAGGAACTTACCAACTTTCCCAGGATCATGCACCTTGATGTCCAAAGTAAACTGGTCTCCACTTTCTTCTTCCTCAATCTGAAATAGCAAAAACACATTCAGTGCAACACACTGAAAAAATCAGTATCAACCTAGTTAGTATGCAATGACCTGTTAAAGATGAGAGTATCACTGCCACAGATTTCTTTAAAATCTATTTTTAAATGTCTTACATTAAACCGGGTACTACTATAGTAGGTAGCCTGTTCTTAAAAAAAAGCAAAAACAGGACAGAACACAGTTTATTCTCCTTTATTTGTGTGCTGCATACAAAATTCTGACTTACCTTTAATTAAGAAATTTAAAGACTACCATTTGATAAATGTATAACAGAGTCAGCTCTGTTTCCTCTTATTAACAACACATGATCAACAGAATGGCAACATTGTATGACTGACTGCTGGAGTAAACTCTCTGTTCCATGTACTTTCAAGTAAAAAGCACTGAAACATTGATAAACATTAGAAACCAGGTACTTAGTAGTAATACTAATAGGAATAAATCAAATAACTGGATAAGGTATCAAACAGAGTCAGGAATTTCAGTGCCTTAAACAACTTCTGCAACTACTGGGTGAGCCACATACTGTTTTGTGGCCAGGTCTACCTTGCTATAGAGCTAAATCATTGACTTAAATGCTATCTTGATTGCCCAGGTGTATATCTAATAGAAAAACAAAAGTCACATGCCCCCACATGCTTCCTCATGAAAAAGACCCGATTTATACCCGGGCAAAAACCTGACAGTGTGAAATCTGCATACATCAAATTTTTCCTCATAAATCAGTCTGCTTTGACGTAAATCAAGAATGCACATCCAGGTCGTATGCCAGCCCTCAAGGCAACGTACGACCTCTATGTACGTTATGTTCTTGACGAATCAAAATGGGCCGATTTTTTTTGGCACCGAGAAAAATTAAACTCACACAGTTTTCGTATGCTCACGTTGGTACATAATTTTCATACCGCTAGGTTTTTGCCTGCATGTGAATCGGGTTAAAATATAGGTGAATTTAGGCTATAAAAAAGGAAAAAAAAATTGAAGACCAAATGCAAGAGTGCCTAACATGCACATGCACCGTTTTATATCATTACACAAACACTGAACAGTGAGGAAAGGGCAGAGGGTACCTGGGCAAAAGAGGTGTACCCTACCTGCAACAACACACAACAACAGGATATCATCAGTCAAATTTGCTTCACATTAGCTTCTTGTTGTTACTTGCACAAGAACCTTATAGCTTACTGATTATCACAACATTATGGAAGGACTGTTACCCCCTGTCATTCAATACGGTTCTTCAAATTTGGATCAATGTTCTCTTTGAAACAGTAAGAAGTGTCTGCATCATTTTATTAGGTTCATAATTTTGAATTATTGTTGTGGGGTTAGGCAGTAGGAAAAAGGTTAAAAGCAGCAAATGAAAGAAAACGGAGGAAGCTGGCTTTGTAAAGGGCAGTGTCTAGCTATAGGGTTGAATTTCACTAGAAATCTCATTTTCTCAATCTATAGGCACTCACATCTATAAAGTACCTATTGGGCAAAATACATAAAAATGCTAGTCACTGATAGGTATCACTTTTCAAGAACAGTAAAAAATGATACCTAGACATACAAAAAATAACACCGTGCTTTGACTGACTCCTTTATACATCCTATTTGGATCAGTAGCAATGCCATCAGCCGACATAAAACAAAACAAGTGCAAAAACACAATGCAAAAACAGAGCACAGCTACAGTTGGCATCACCAAAATCCTGACAAAAAGACTAACAATACCACAACTTCATAACATGTTTACAAAATGTACATGTTTACAATTGTAATCATTTATTTCTTTGGCTGGTATACATGTACATACAGCCAACGTTGACCAGCTAACCTTGTTTACATGACTTATTGTTTACATGTCTTATTTACCTCTTCCTTGGATTTCTCCATGGAGGGTTTGCGTGGGGCGGGGGTCGGCTTGGGTTTCTCCTCGGGGACAGGTTTGGCAGGGGGGAGCACCTCCGCCATGGGGGGGGCCTCCAGGGGGGAGGAGTCTGAGTCAGGCTCCATCTTGGCCGGGCTGGAGGGGCCCTCCGTCTCGGGGGAGTCCAGGTCAACCTCCTCACCTTCTCCTGGGACAGGTGTCAATCAACATCTCAATCAAAATTTCCTCCTACAGAACAGATCTCATTTTACACGTTTTAGGTATCATTAAAACAACTCATTTTTACATGAATCATTGTGTAGTACATCATGTGTAGTCATGGGAAACAAATATCAAAACAAGATTGATTAATATTGTCATAATTAGATTCATACTGTCATTTACGATATCAGAAAATTATAACTATAATTGAGTTAACAAAAGTGATAAAAATGTGTGTGAAATTGATATTCCGCTCTCAAAAACATCCATGTATTACAATGTACGTAGACCAACACATGAGCATGATCACTGTAGACATTCACCGTCATTTGTAGAATTTGTCATGCTGCGAATCAAATGAATCAGGATCAACATTTCAGAAGTATATGATAATGATGTTGCAGCCTACTTAGAGGCATACTTAAGAAAGAGAGCAATCTGCCCTGTAAAAAAGCTGAAAGCAAAAGAGTGGAGTCAGAAAGATAGAAAGTATACAGGAAGGTACAACACCACAGTAGGTCTGTCTGTGTACATCCCCACTTTCATTATGTTTGATGAGTGCTGAGTCTGCTGACATAACAGACAGTAGGTAGGGATAAAATCACTTTCACTAGTTTCAGGGCTCAAAATTCCCATCTCCAACCTGTACTTTGCACAGAAATTTTTGTGAATGTAAAAAGTCATGTGAAGAACTTGGTAAAAAGCATACAGGCTCAATGTCAGAATATTGGAGAAAACAGAATTTTGAAGTAATTTGAGCCCTCAGTCTTTGTTTGATCACAAACAACATGCATCAACCCATTTAAATGCGCATCATGTATGTTCTTCTGAAATTATAAGATCAATGATAGTATAAAAGACATCCATGTTTGACAAAATGTTTTTCTTCAAGACCTCTTAAAGGGATGGTGTGGCACTACAGTGTGGAACATCTGGAACTGCTCTAGGAACTGCCAGATTCAAACATTTAGAGTCAACTTTCATCACAACTGATTGAAATGGATGCAGCTTATTGCTTAACAAGAAAACACCATCCCTTTTGAGGATCCCTTGATGAAAGTGACAGTGAAGATGCTGACACAAAGACAGACAGACGGACAGTCGGACAGACGGACAGAGTGGTTCAGAGGTTACCAGAGATGTCCATCTCAGGAGGAGGCTCGTCAGTAACTTCCAGTTTGGGCGAGTCAGCGGAGTCTTCCTGCATGTTTTGTGCTAAATACACATGTCTTATATTAGACTCACATTGATAGTAAACGTGTTAGAATATAAACTGAAAACAAAATTTTGAATAAGAAGTTAATTCCAAAGAGTATACAAAGAAGCCCAATCAGTATCTGCAGGTGTCTGCCCTATAGGCCACCTCCTAATAGATAAGAGCAATCCTGATAAAGGAAAAAAAGTTACTGGTAGTCAGAACCATCTGTACCTAGGAGGAAACATGTTCATACATGTACATGTACATACAAAATCATAGCTATAGTATTTGCACATGTATAACAAGGCTGAAATTTGTGTGTAAACTGAAGATTACATTAATCTTGCAAATGTGCCATTCTTACTTTAAGCATAAAAAGAAACACACCAGCTCTGCTATAGCTTGTGTAGGACATTATTGCAATGGAAATATGACAAGCAAAAACAAATGTATCATCTTCAGGCTACAGTGTTAACAACAGTCTATAAGCCATACTAAGGTAAGGTGCGAAAGGCTGCTAGACTACAGTACCACCAAAGTCTGCAAGATATTAGCCATTGTCACAGTGCTCTAAGTTGTAACAGGGAAGAAACTGCACCAGCTGCATTTGCACCTGTATCTTCAAGAAACAAGTCTGTCAGATCTTAGTCAACTGTTGACACCTTTATTCTAAGATGTTAAGCTGGCAGAAAAACCCCAGATGACTCCAGTCTGCTTTTTTTAAATTCCTTTTTGACTTTCTAAAGGAATTTTATGACACCAACATGGTGCAGCTTGATATTTAATGTCTTAACAGTTGAAATAATAATGACTTGCTTGTTTCTTGTGTATAAGAGAGAAAACACACTTATTGGTGGTCCTTTGGAAGTAGGGAGGTCTACAGACACTTTCACAGGTTTGATGGATGGCTGGTCCCTTGCCATACTGGCTAGCTCTTCACTTGGCTTAACTGGTGGGTTTGAATAAGGCTGTGGTTTGTAGTCTAGGTCTTTTACTTCAGGCTCCTGTTTTCCTGCGTCAGCAGGAGTGTCCCCCTGCTGGTTTTGTGCTAAATACTGTTGCAAGTTCCAAGGCTCTGTAAGAAATTTGTGTCAAAAAATTTAACAAGGTACACATGTAGAGATCTTGACCTTTTCAATTAAAATACAAGGTGAGATTGAGACTAATAAGAAAACTGAGTGGTAAGAAATTGTACTTGCGGGAACAAAATCATGTACTCTAACTAAAACTCTAAAAAGAGACAGGCTAAACATAGAAGTAATTATCATCAGCTATATGCACTATGCCACCTCCTAGTCCTACTCCTAGAATCAATCAAATAAAAAAAAACAACTTTATCAGACTGAACACATTACACCAGCTTATACTATTATAGCACAGAGTCAGCTGTATGCAAAAACTGAAAACTGTGATACAGAGATGTTACAACTTTGCCTGTGGGAAAAATTACTTTACAGGAAATACACAAAACTAGCTTTTCCATAGGATGTACAGAGCATTCCTTTAACAGACATGCAACATATATATATATATACATGAAAACATAGACAAAAGAATGAATAAACATGAGAAAAGCTCTATGAAGTATTGCACTATCACAGGATGCTTTCAGTTAAATGTGTCAGGAAAGAAAACTGCACCAGCTCTACAGTAGGCCACCACCTGTATTTTCAAGGAACAAGCAAGTCTGGTCTATATTGAAAACTTTTTTTTCCGACGTTTGGATAAAGAAAAGATTATGCCATCCCTTTTCTTCGACAATGAGGGTAATTATACCAGGTGACAAAATGTCAGAAAGTTAGGACAGACCAATTTTCGACAAGATACAATATCTGGGCAGACAGAAAAAAAGGTTCAGATGCCAACTTGCTTGTTCCATGTAGAGAAAAGAAAAACGTATGGTTACCAGGTTTGGGGGCATGAAGGTCTACAGAGACTTTCATAGGTTTCAGCGGAGACTGGTCCTTTGCCATACTGGCTGGCACTTCCTTAGGCTTGGGTTCCTTGGCCTGTGAATCTTCCTCCTTTGCTTTTTCTTTTGGAGATTCCTTTTTTCCAGATGTATCACTTTGGGGTGCTTTGCCCGAATCTGCTGCTGTCGGAATGAGAGGCTTTGGTTCCTCTACAGGTGAGAGGTCGTCTACATCTTCCGTGAGTTTCCGAAGAAGCTTTGACGTGTCAACCTCCTTCACACCTTCCTGTTTCTCTGTCAATCACCATGGTGTCATCATGTTAACTCTTTATCTAAACTTTTGAAAACATTCCACAGGCCTATTGTCTCAAATGTTTGAGATGACATATTTTAAAATTCCAACAACATTTTAACTGCCAATTCACTTATATGTTAAGAATATGCTGTATACTACTATACATTTAACATCTTGACATACATAAATCTTCAAAAATATTTGGGTGCACAGCTCCAAATTTGGGTGCACTAAGGGGCACATGCATCCACTATTTCGAGCCTTGTATAATATTCTTCTTCTTCACTGCATATCGATATTATCAGTGCTTGGCGCTGAGGCACACCGTCATTGTCTTCCACAGTTTTTTTTTTTCAACACGGGTTGAAACCCAACAACCCTTACAAGGCTACACTAACAGTAACACGGCCTACCTCCAAATAGGTCATCGTCTGCAGCGAACAGGTCCTCAGACTTGTCCTGGGCAGGCTCCGTGGGCAGGCTGGCTGGCTCATCTTTTACCTCTTCCTTGGGCGCCTGAGGGTTATATTAGACAGGTTGTTTTTACACAAGAAAATCAGCAAGCACCTTCTCCCTGCTTCCATATCCAGTTACAAATTTGGCATCAAATAGACACCTAGTATTAGGATAAACTTCAGACTCAGAGTGTGTAAACAACAAAACAAAGCATGTAAACACTGTGGGATCAAAATTGTTCAAGTGCCTTGCTTTATTGATATAACATAAAAAGACTTATTGTGACTGGGTAAACATTTATGTCCAAAGTCCCAGACTGGCATTGGTTTACAAAGAAGTTCACTTCATGATCACTTCTTTGAACCATATTTCATGGCTGCAATCATTTTGCAATGAAAGGTTTATAAACAATGTACAAAATAGATTGACTCTGTAGAAAACTTAAATGGATAGAGGGCCATCAGTGTACATGATGAAAGTTGTTGTAAAAGTAATAATAATTTAGTACATTAACTGGTTGCTACATGCTAGCCATGTAATTAGAGTAGTCACTGGTGCTCTATTCTTATAGATCTTTCGGGGATTTCAGTGCCACTTGGTATTTTCAAGTTAAGTAAGTTAAGGTTTGTAAGTTAAAGAAAGTTGCCAGAGAGTCATTTGTGTCGGGATGATAGCTATTCCACGACTTGAGTACATGTAACGCTACATAATTTGTGCAAACTAACGTTACATACAGTCTGGATATGTGGGAGGGGGGTTGAAACGTGGACATTAATTTTGTCTTCTACCTCTACAAAGCTATTAAAAATAAGACCCTTAATGCAACCGATGTGACGCAGAACACGATCTTTTTCACAGCATGATGTGATGAAGGCTTTCCTTTTCTAACTCGAACGAGAATCCTAACCTTATCGGGTGACAGAACGAAAGGACATCCGGACAAAAACTGTAGGGAACCCGTCCCCCCAGCTTCCGCCCAAAAGCAAACACTGCACCACTAAAAACCTGTCTTGTTTGCATAAAGATCACGCCCCTGCACATGCACCAAATTTCTTCTAAGTACCACTATAGGCTCCCTGATAATTTTAAGCTATCCCTACCTCATTAGGAGTCGCAAACAAGTCATCCTCGTCTTCTTTCTTGTCGGGTTTCTCGTCGTCAAAAAGAGGAGGTGGCTCCCTATCGTCCGCCATGTTGGATGACTATGCGGTCATGTGATTAGCATGCACACCGCTCACGGGCTCCCTCTTTCAGAAAATAATAAAACTGCAGGGAAGCGATCAGATTCACGGAACTGTTTGATAATCTTGATGCCATCTTTGGGGCATTGGTATAAAGTGGTTAGACCTCTAACAATTAGAAAGCTTACCAGGACTATTTTGTCGTCCTTGGATATCTTTGTTCATTTTAAGCAACAACATCCCCAGAATGATGACCAGGAGTGAGGTTTGACGAACACCTGGCTCACACCTCCCATTATCCGAATAGATATTTGTTTATTCTGCAATGTTGCACACTCATGTTAGTAAGCCTGGTTTTCATTCCATGAGTATCACAATGAGTATCACACAAAAGGAAATTACACAAGCTTTTTTTTTAAAATGATATATATATATTGAAATTGATAAAGACACAACAGAAATATCCTCCTGCATATCAAAAGCTCAAAACTAGGCATAACTGAGGGGTGCTGCATTGGAAATCTCTCAAACATACTGTTTCTCGTAGTAGCATATAATGTTATATGTAACCCAGCAGATAAATGTTGAAGGAGGTTATCCATTGAGGTCTATGTTCACTGCATTTTCAAAAGTAATTCTATCTTGTCCAGATAGTCTACAGATGCAGGGGGCCCAGGCCTGGAGGTCAAAAAACCAACATATGTCTCCATGTACTCAGGCTCTAGTGGCTCTGTAGAAGCAGTAGTCGTATGTACTGGTATGACTTTTACATGGGCATAATCTATTTCCATCCCCTCACATACGATGGCAAACCCCTCGGTGTTCAGTCCCTTCTGTATTAATAGCCCCACAGTTCTGGCACACTGGAGAAGTCTAATGTAAGCGTCAGTAGGGAGGCTGAGGATGTCACTGGACAGGTGTGCTCGTGGGACGACCACAGTGTAGCCAGGTGTGTTGGGGAAAGGTGTGAGGAAGGCTACATGGTCCCTGTCCTCCCAGATGCGCCACTGTTGCAGCTCTCCCCGAACAATGCGAGCAAACAGGTTGTCATCGGATGCCTCTCCGTAGAATGTCATATCAGGGGAAAGCTTGGGATTACTTTGACTTGCTTCATCATTGCCCAAGAAGCTGTAAACAACATGGAAAAATATATTTGAAAAGAAATTGTATGAATTCTTGAAGTAGTCAAAAAATATACAAATATTTTCAATGTAAGGCCACACCAATTTAATTTGTTGGTTCTTGGATTTTGTCAGAAAAAACATGAAGCAACAGGGCAAAAAAAAATAAAATAAAAACAGGTTTAGGCATCCTATTATAGCCCCAAATGCTATGATAGGAGCCATGAAGCCAACACAAAAGGTTGTGTTAATATTTAAACAATGAATTTTGAACTTTTAATCAAACCACTGCATTGATAGATGGAAACACTGCAACAGCTAGGAAGAAAAGGACTTTCCACAACTGTTGGGGGCAAAATATGAGCATTTTTGAGTTGATTCAGAACCAGAATCTTTTTTTTTTTTTTGCAAATCAGAAAAAAATGAAGAGGCGAATCTGAGAACCAACAAATTAAATTGGTGTGGCCTAACCTGCACATTTCAAGCCCTGTAAGCACAAGAGTACTGATACTCACTTGGGTTGATTGGCTTGTAGGATGCGGGACTGGATGACGTCAAGTGCGGAGTCTTCAGCACGAGGACCGCTCTTGGTCGTGATGTATCCTGGGTAAACGGTGTTAAACTCTGTCTCCTTGGCCAGTACAGGAGCCCACTTGTTACCCAGGCTGTCCAGGGGCAGGACCAGGGTGTGGGCACCACCTCTGACCTTACTGTCAGCCACCATGGCACAACGTCCTACCTTCAGCTTTGCTGTAACATGCTGGGCTACCTGAGGAAAGGAACAAAACTTACATTGTGAGAACTTGAGAACTAGAGCAGGAATTTCTATTGCTGTCTAGTGAACAAGGATTTTGTGTCTTCATCATTAATTAATTAGTTGCCTGGTTAGAAATACATTTACTCAAATCTCTGAATTAATTACTTTTTAAATAACTGTTACATGTATTCATAAAAGCCATTAATCTAATATTATCAATTCGTTTTGGATGCTGAATGATGTAGAAATGATAGCTGTCCTTGGTGCTGAATGACACATCCGGAAGACTACTGTCCCTGTCCTTGGTACTGAATAACATCTCTAACTAAAAGAGTGACGAACAAAAACTAATGAAACGATTATATACCAGATTAAGACAGATTCTGTGCCTGTTTATCTGCAAGTATTAATTCTTCACCGAGATGATCCTGTCAATAAGACATTTTGCACTATTGACCGGGTGTTAAATATTATTAACACAATGGCCGTTAATTCTTAATCCATACCATTCTGTACCTGTCTGGTTGCTAGCATTAATTCTCCAAACTGTTCCTCAGCCAGTGTCCACAGGTCCCTGGCCTCTCGGTCCTTACACATGACCACAGTGGCTCCCCTCAGACTGGGGGCTGGGTCCAGGAAGGCCACATGGTGTTGGTTTTCCCATAGCACCCGCTGTGCCATGCTGTTGTCCTTGCACCCAAAGTTGACAATTAATGACAAGCATATTAGTACTCTGTATTACATTTCATCTAAAGACGACTATCTACAAACCACTACTCATGTGCATGAAACTTCAGAAGACAAAGCAAGCAAATAGAAGTACGGAAATTCCGAATGATCGATGTGCACCTGAAAAAACTCACCCGAGAAAAAGCTGCGAGAAAAGTTACTTCCTGAAGATGATAGCATCTAAACAAAATATTCGGGTGACTTAAAATAGATATACCAGATAAGTACACCATTAAAGCAAAAATTTAGTTGAATATCATAATAATGTGAATTTAAACGTCATGTTATTTATTTCTAATCTACATGATTAGATTTCTTAAATTATAAGATGAAATTTTAACACGCTAGTTACGCATGGATGTGGTCTCCCCTGGACAAGCTGAGGTCATTGACCCCACAGTGGCAAGATGGCTGCTGTTCAGCTGACGGGAGTTCATGTCCTTTTGGTCATCACGTTCGGTATCATGGTCAGTATTCCTGTCAAAACTCTGTACTATGATTCTTAATGTTATTGTCTAAGCATGGAGCTTCTATAGGGCGTTCAATTTTTTGTAGAATGTTGGAATTTTCTACTCGTTTTGCATCAGTGGGGAGGGGGGCATCAGATAAAAACAACACAATCACAGCCAAACAAGGATTCAGGTTTGTTTCGTTTGTTCAGAAATAAGATGTTTCCTTCCTATTACACCGTACCATCAAGAGTGGCCCGGCTTATATGCCATGGTTAATATACATGTCATGGATTTAAAACATGTTTGTCTAATATTTTTCAGCCAGAGAAATAAATTTTACAGGAGTCAAATTTTCACAAGGAAATTTTACCCTTAAGTTAAAGGCATAAATTGACGTCATGCCAATTATAGTTTGAATATCCATGTTGGCTGCATGTTAAACAGAGATACACTTTAATTCAACACGGCACCATATGAAAATGTAGTTTGTATGTTTGTTTACATTCCTGTTGTCATCTCTGGATCCCCCAGGCATTCTTCCTACTGTTCCTGTTTGCTAAGAGACAGATCATGAGGTTTGCCCTGAGGTCCCACCGAGGACCACATGTGCTGGTGGGCTCGGCTTCTCCAGGGGTGAGACTCAGCTGTTTCTGTTTGTTTTTGACACAATTTACACTTGGGCAATAAACCTGATGGCACGAAAACTGCAAAAATTGTTTACATCAAACATTTTCTTTGAGCAGAGTGGCCTGCTTTGATGTATGTCAAGAACAGTGTTACGTTCAGACTGTATGTTACCTTGAGAGTTGGCATACAATCTGAACATACGTTCTTGATGTACACAGTTTCTGTATGCTCACCTGCATGCAAATTTTTTGTACCATCAGGTTTTTGCCTGCATGCAATCAGGTCAGTACTAGTAGTGTATGTGGGTTGTGTTGCCAATTTGTCAGTTTATGTGTTTAATTAGGATGTCGGGACACTGAAATCAAGAAGGAGGTTGCTGCGTTACTTACATGTTGTACATGAACATATTTCTCTCCACCAGTCCATGAAAGAGGAGATTGAAAGAAGGCTAGACAGGATAGCAGGCATCAAGTATGAACCACGACTCCTGTGTGCTGTGGAGCCAGGCATGCTAGCAGAGCCTACAGACGGGACAGGTAATGAGCACAAGCACAGTTCTTAAATCATAACATGCAGCTAGACTAGACAGGACGTCAAGTACAATGTACATGTAAATGTTTGTACATGTGTATGAACTATGGCTGTGGAGCTAGGCATGCATGGCTGTATGTTATGTGCTGTGGAGCTAGGCATGCATGTGCTGGCAACATCTACTAATGCCTGAGTAATGGAACGGCTACATACTAAATGTATAAGGAGCAAAGTTCTTACTCAGTACTAGTGGTTATAACATGCATTTAGTTAGACCTTGGCTCCTGTGTGCTGTGGAACCTGGTATGCTAGCAGAACCTAACAGACAGGACAGGTAATTTTTGCATTTTGATGTTGAATATTAGATTGTCTATAACCCTTTCTAAACATTTACCTACACTTCTGTTTTCCTGTTATCAGTGGAGGGTAACTACAACTACATCTACAGGATGAAAGCAGTGGATGCAGCTGCATTACTTGGTAAGTGCAACAAGAAGTATATCCGAAAATAATTTCATCAGGTTGTTAGAATGCAGGTAGGATATTAGGGTTTCCTTTTACAACACCAGAGCCTCTGACCTGAGTACTGCTTCTCTCCACTACATGTAGTCGATGTAGATGATGCTTTTGTATTACCCTTCATTCATCGATAAGAACATGCTAATATAAGGTCCTATCTCTACCCTTCAGATGCACAGTTACAGGAGCTAGACCCTGAGTTGCGGCGGCCGGCGGGAAAGAGTTTCCGACAGCACCTGACTGAGCTGCGGGAGGGTCCGGGAGCGCCGCTCAAGTCTGCTAAACTCTCCCTCTGTAACTCCTTTGCAGATTCTTACGAACATGCCAGGCACGGTCAGAAGGTAAGACTGATGTACAAGTCATTCTACTGAAGAAACACGGGAACGTGGAAATTATGTTACACATTGTGACCTTACCACTTTTATCCTGTCCTGACAAAATGTATGTCTATCTAGCTATTCTAGGCCAATACTTATACAGTTATATTATATGCATAAAAGAAACTGAAGTAAAGAAAATCAACATATGCAGTGGAACAGTATACAAATGTACATGATGCAACTTCTTATTGTATCTTTTATGTAACTTGTATTTACCTGTAGATTAATGTATGCAAGTAGCAATGTCTGAATCAGCAGTCTTATGTTTTATGATGATCATAATATTGTTTGTTTTTTGGTTCATACAGCCCTTTGGTGAAGCAGAGTACAGGAAGTATGTGGCAACCCTGAACGACCTACTGACTTGGTGAGTTGGTACAGAAACAACTCCTGTCCTTGGTGCTGAATTGTACATCTGACATTGTTAGAAATATTTATTCTGCAAAGCAGCACCAGTGTAGGTAATTTTTATGTTACCTGCAAAAGACAAATTTGACCTGCACCACTTAGAGAGTTGACTTCTTTGTTTGTGGTCCCTTCGGTTATCTTTCCCATTGACATAAGCATTAACAATCCTGTCTATAGTGACCTCCTGTCCACATACACAAGACTTTATCAGTCCCCTGGGTGGTGTTTTTAGGCAGTTTTGACAGTTTGTAGAAAAGATGCTTACTATTCAAACCATCCTTTTTTTCTCTCAGCATCAAGAACAAAATCTACAGGAAGAAGAGCCATGTGACATTCCAGAACGTGGCCCAGGTGTACAGTAACAGCACCAGCAGCCACCAGATGTCTGCAGACAGCCTGCTGCTGCTGGAGGAGGAGGCTGTGGCGGGGAGGGCGGCGGAGGAGGAGATAGAGCTGGACGTGCTGGACGCAGACTCCAGCGGAGCATCGTACGAAACCTCCGTGTAGAACAGAGGTTCTAGCCTCTACTGGGCTTTGGAAGCAGCTGGAAAGAGTAGAAATTGGTCAAATTGACAGATACATGTAACATGACAGGGAATTTGGTCTGCTAATGGAGTACATTTAATCAGCACCCAAATGTACTCCTTCAGCAGATCAACCCCCTGGAATGTCATCTGTCTTTTCGCCCAGTTCTATTCTTTCCAGCAGTTTCAGAAGATTGATAGAGGCTACAGAGGTTCTTGATAGTCAAGCAGCCAGAAAGTACTTATTGTTGAAAAGGTCCTTTTGCAGTGTCAAAACAAAATCTACAAGACATTGAGATGGATGAATGGGCTGGATGCAGACTTCAGCACTGCAGAGGTTTGGGAATGCCTGGTAATCAAGCAACAACACAATCTACAGGACATGGAGATAGATAAACTGGATTTTGTTCCCCAGTCCCATTTTTTTCTTTCCAGAAGGCCATCTGTCCAGGAAGACCACTTTACTTTGGTCTCCAGGCTGGCCTTCTTGGGTGGGTTTGACGATACTGCCAACTACCTGGCTACCAGGAACGGGGATTGCAAGTAACTGTTGAAAATACTCTGTGAAGCCTTTCAACCAGGTATGGGAAGGGAAATACATGTAGTTGAATTTGGTTACACATTTTTATCAGTATCGCTAAAAGCAAAATCTACAGCAGATAGAAAAGGCCACTAAACCTCTGTATGAATGAGAAATGCCACTTCTGCCTGGTATCCAGGACATAAATGGGAAATACATGTATCAAAAAGTCACATGTCTACCAATGCTATTACCAAAACCAGTTTAAAAAGTACTGTTTGTATGTGGTAGAAGTTAGAAACTAGGCAGCTAGAACTTGTTGATTGTGAGCTTACAATGTACAGGTTCTTTCCAGTGTGAAAGTTTGAGGCATGTTTTAATGAATGTAAAACAAATTGAAATTTTCAGTGTTAGTACATGTACTGTAGATTGCTCACAGCCCAATAACCATTGAGATGCAAAATTGTAAGTAGTTTCATGTACCTGTACTTACTAGTCATGCACCTTACGTACATGTCAATGAGATTTTGCTTATGATCAAGTCATTGAGTGATTTCTACTAGACAACATGCAAATAATCAAATGTCAGAAAAGGGCTGAGTGAAATTAAGGTAACAAATCTGTTGTATGCAGTACTCTTCATGAAGCCAAAATGTCATTTTGCACCTAGTGCAGTGCAGTTGGTTTACTGATATTTGTGATGTCACCTACACAATGTATGTCTACTTATCATGTTTTATGTATCATGGAGTAAACAAAATTAGAGATAGCAATGATATCATTCCAAATATATCTCACCCTTGTGATGTATTTACACATGTGGGCTGAGCAATAGTTCAAGCTTCTCAGAAACCATATTATTAATAAACTTTTGGTTTCTTGAATACATGTACTTTGCCTTTTGCCAAAATGAAAGTAAGTGGACTAAGTGTAAGTACCTGTAACTACATTACACTACAGTTCACCTGTCCTGATACCACTGAAAAAATAAGGCCTCTGTTGCTGTTGATAGAGATCAGACATACATATGTCCATTATCTTTTTGTTACTCATTTATTCTATCATCAGACTGCCTTTCAGACAGACCACCAGACTGTCCTGTCACATTATCCAGCAACATTAAAAAAGGTTCTGGAAGTACAGTATTTTTTTCCAGATACATTGTGACACATACAAAAAGATGACATTGTAACACATACAAACTTACTGACATTACTACTAACAGGAAGTTTTACACCAATGGCATGATACAAGTAGATAGTGAATCTAAATTTCTGATCCCATTGAAACAGCTCTCATAGTGAATAGGTCCCAAATTATTCTCTTTTCCGCCCAACGTCCTGAAAGTCCTTTTGCTTGTACACACACTTGTGGCTGTCTCAATAGTTGACAGCCTTAAGTTAATTTTCAGGGGCTTACGCAGTATAAAGTATGGCCATTTATCTTTGACAAGATATCATCATTGAAACATACAAAAGCTTACCATAGTGCTATGATACAGTGTATATACTTTGGCTGTCTACATAGTCTTTCATACATGTACTAGTCATATGCTCCATGATGCAATTGCAATATGTTGAATGTCTTCTCTTTCTGTACTGTACACTGTATATTGAGGATTCCACCCTCATTCCTTCAGTTACATGTAACTGTAGAACATCTTGGCAAAGTTTCCACTGTCCACATAATATCCATATGGTTCCTTCACCACAATGTCCCACAGTGTGTTTATGGGAACACGATACCATAGATGTCTTTATAGTGTTCCACAAAATGCACTTCCAGTCCCTCTGTGATGAAGCTGGGCAGGTCGGAGAAGTCCTTCCTATTCTCTGCGGGAAGAATGATGCAGTCCACACCTGCACGACGTGCCTGTAGCAAGGTAGAAGAGCACACAGTCATATGATAACTGCCATCTTGTTTAAACAGAAAGCCCCTGTGACACACAGCTAAGCAACTGTAAGATGGGATAGTGTTGGTGATTATTTTGGCACTAGTACTCCAAATGTGAGTTTGTCTTCTTGAAAAAGACAACAAAAAGTCCTATATATGGACACTGATTCCAACAAACTTGAGCTATTTGTAATTTTTAGTCATTCTGAATTGCTAACATAATGATGCAGCCATAGAGAACTTAAATGAACCTAAAGCCTGTTCAGTACACAATGGCAAATTCATCAAAGACGTAGTGTACTGTCTTTAACAACATTATATTACTTACCGCAATGGTTTTTTCCTTGATCCCACCGACTGGTAGAACCTTGCCCGTGAGCGACAACTCTCCTGTCATTGCCACATTTTGTCTGATTGGCTTCCCAACAGCCAATGACAGCAGGGCAGTCACAATAGTGCAGCCTGCACTGGGCCCGTCCTTTGGCGTTGCTCCCTGACAAGAAAAAAAACAATGCTTTTCAACACTTAAAAAGTCCGGAGGCTGTTCACAAGTTAAAGATCCCATAGTACTACATTACACTTGTCAAAAAGAAGAGGGTCCTTCCGTGTGTGAGTGAATCAAAGCTTACAGTCTGGTCTCAGGGTTGATATTATGTCAATCCTTCCACAACTTTGGAAAAATAAAAAATAAAAAGATACGAATATTTCTTACCTCAGGGACATGTAAGTGTAAGTGAGAAGTGGAGAGAAAGTTGTTCTCTGGGTCCTTCTCTCCCAGGAGTGACTTGGCAAACGTGTAGGCGATCTTCCCTGACTCCTTCATGACATCACCTAACTGTCCTGTCAGTTCCAGAGAACCCCTCCCTGGCCTCAGAATCTCGGGGTAACCTCAGGGAAGTCTCTATGTACAGTGTGGAGCCACCTGCAAAACAAGATTGTTACTCAACCGACTGGATAGATTCTGAAAACTGTCAGATGTTTAAGTAACAGTTTTCTTGTGTATCTCATTACCTGGATGTCCAAACCTTAATTAATGTAGCAAGATGTAGTACTGATTTTCTATTTCCCTAGCTGAAATTTTGAAATCTCAATGCTTCACTAAACATACTCAAGTACCCAAACAGCAAGGACAAAGTACATTAGCATAAAAGAGACACACACTCATACACTGCAAACTTTTGAGCCACAGCAAGAAATTAATTTCACGCCAAATTCATGGTAATGCAAAAACACACTCGACACTCGAATGCAAACCTACCCAGACTTGTCCAGGCCAGGCCCATGACCACCCCAGGGGGGGTGCTGGCGTACATTCGCTCACTCGTGAAGATGGGCTTCCCGACGTAATCCTGCAGGTTTTCCGCCATCACCGTCACATGTTCCGCATCCCCGTTCACCAGCTTATATGCCGCCTTACGGAACACCTACAAGGACAAGAAAAGGTATAAGGCAAGAAAACACAACTCAGGACAAGAAATCTGAGGTCTCCGGGAAATATCTAGAGTTTTTTGTAAAATCTATTGGCACATTCAAAGAGATGGTCTGACATTGTGTGGTTCTGTACTACATGACATTGTAGTCTTTGCCTTACCTTTTGTATCTGTTTCTCCAGGTTCCGAACCCCACTCTCCCGACAGTAGGACTTGATGAGTGCACTGATGGCATCCTGGTCCAGCGAAACCTTTTCTTCACTCACCCCTGCATCTAATCTTGCCTTGGGAACAAGGTATTTCTGGAAAAAAGGACAAATCAGAGAATTTCTTTTTTTTGAATGGTGAAATGTTTAACCTTTATCACACTGAAGCAGACATCTGGCTACAAGGTTCTTATTGTGGTTAGGGGTTAGGCAGCAGGGAGAAGGTTAATTCGTACCTCTGCTATGGCTAGCTTCTCCTGGGCGACGTAACCTGACACATCAATCATCTCCATCCGGTCACGCAGCGGCTCCGGGATGGTGTCCGTAATGTTCGCTGTGCAGATGAAGAGCACCTGGGAGAGAACAAATAATATGTTCATGACAGAAAAAAAAAACTTTCAAAGATACTTGATGACATTCAGTATCAGGTGAAAGCATTTATTTCTACCGACACAGTATATAAATTATGTAGGACCTATGTTACATGTATGATGTACAATAAAGTTCCTGATGTCATATAAACATTATGAAAGAGTATGACAATATTATTTCTCTCATCATCAGTTACAGATTCTGACATAGATAAGACTTTCCTAAATTTCCAGAGTCTATTCCATATCAAAGTATTGTTTGTGTACCACTGACAGTAATTAAAAAAGATCATTATTAAAACTCCAACCCTGAAAAAGCACAGTCCTAACCTTAGAGAGGTCCACGGACACGTCTAGGTAGTGGTCCAGGAAGTTGGCGTTCTGTTCCGGGTCCAGCAGCTCCAGCAGGGCAGAGGACGGGTCGCCTTGGTAGCCACGTCCGATCTTGTCCACCTCGTCGATTAGGATGAGCGGGTTCTCCGTCTTGGTCTTCTTCAGACACTGGATGACCTTCCCCGGCATGGCTCCCACGTACGTACGCCGGTGACCTTTGATCTCTGCCACGTCCGTCATACCTCCGACACTGAAGCGGAAATACTGGACAGACAAGCGAGAGAGAAAGTTTGCAACTGTACTGTTTAAAGTCGGGTAGACAGCGAAAAGAGATGAGCAATCACCTGTTTTGTCTTCCCCTCCATTTTGTAATGGAAAAGCTAAATAAAGAAATAAAGAAATGATATCGTGTGTCATTACCCGAGTCATCTGTGATCCCCAGAAAAATACCTGACTTTGAAGTATCTTTCTTGATCCGCGCGTGCAGTGTACTGAACCCTTAGCTATTATTTCATGATTTTCAAGGTAGATGAAATATGGGGGCAAGTGTCATTTTTGCAGAAAGGTAGTCTGGTAGAGGTGTTTAATCTATGCCAGGTAGATTTTTTTCAAATGTATGACTGTGCCATTTTTCCAACCACGATGCAAGTTTCTTAAGCTTTTTCATTCAACATTAGCAAAGTTATTGAATGCTAACCAATTAGTTATCTCATGTCTTATCAAAATCTATTACATGTACTTCAAATGGCAAAACACAAAATGTCAGAATTTTAAGAAAACTTCTTAGGGAACCCACCTCCCTACTTAAGGCCCTGGCGATGGAGCGAGCTATGCTGGTTTTACCGACACCAGGTGGTCCGTAGAAACACAGGATCTTCCCCTGCACACTGCCTCTCAGCTGGCTCACTGCAATGAATTCCTAGCGACAAGAAAAACACTTGACTGCATGCTCAAAGAAGCACAGCTGAACAATCCTTTACAATGAACAATCATATTTACAAGTAAATTTCTTGTTATGTATGTAGTATTTTTATCTGTTTCTCGTTCGTCATAATTTAAGAGAGAAAAAACTTATACACATATGAGTGCAATGCTCAAATACTGTCATCATAGGATGAAGTCACGGTTGATAGAGAAAATATCCAGCAGCTGTATTCTGTTACAGAACAGTTAAAGAAAGGGAATGTTGGTGGATTTGAACCACTTACGTGCACAACTTACGGGTTGTAGGCTAAATGCCTAACCATTACACCACACAATCCCCAGCCCTCACCAGTATTCCTGTTCTTGACGTCGTCCATGCCGTAGTGGTCCTCCTCCAGAACTGCCCGGGCTCGCGCCAGGTCAAGGTTCTCCTCACTGTACTTCCCCCACGGCATGCTCGTCAACCAGTCCAGGTAGTTCCTGGTCACACTGGGGAACAAACAAACAAAATGTATCATGAGAGTAGCCTGTGTTTACACAAGCTCTTACTGCCAGGGGTTAATGACCCCCATCTCAAGAGGAGGCAGCAACCATTGGGGGGGAGGTGCTGCCAGACAGGAAAATGCGATTTAGTCAGGCTAATCATGAAAGCAGAATTGAGGAACTTGAGTCATCATGATACTGACATATGTTTGTTAGGAACGTAAAACATACATTCTTACTAGTTTTGTCCATGACTTTGAATCCCTCACCTCTTTACGAACTAAGATTTATGCTATTTTGACAGTTTTCTTAGCCATTTGGTATACACCAGTAAAAGCATAAAAGCATATTTTGTTCCTGTCTATCTTACAAATGTACATACATATCCATTATTACTTTGACTGCTGGACTTGCCACAAATAAAGAAACTCTGATTACTTGAACTCTGAGGAATGTGGGTCGAGGAAAGACAGTTTGTTCAGCTCTTCATCTATCACTTCCATTACTGCAGCAGGCACTGTCAGTTCCTGGGAGGGGAAACAAGAAGGGCTTGGAAGACATCTGATGCTGACCTTACAAGTACTATTTAAGGCTCAGTCACGTCGTGCGATCAAAAACTGAAGACATTCTCAGGATATATATAGACCACATGTGTCTTACAAAATTCAGCTGTCTTGTTACAGAAAAGGCTGCCTTAGATCCTTGCTGGCAGTTGGCAGTTGAAAATTGCACAGCATCAAAATTGTATGACAACCAATGACAAATGTGACCAAACTATGAAGTACATTTCATTGTATTTGTAAACCAATTTGGTATTGTTAAATTTGTCACAAGTACCTGAATGTCACATTTTGTTTTTACCTTGAGTCTTTCCTTGAATTTCTCTGCTACTGCATCCTTGTCATCCTTCTCCAGACCCAGCTCCTTCTTGATGATCTTGAGCTGCTCCTGGAGCATGTACTTCCTGTGGGTCATCTTAACCTTCTCCTCAACCTAGAAAAAATGTGAAGACAGTCACTTTCACAGGGCTCGGAATACTTTTTCACTATTTACAAAATAATCATCAAATAACTAACAAAACGAAGCCTCCTGGAATTATAAATTAGGACATACCTCCCTGCCAAGTCTCTGCTGCAGTTTACTCAGTTCATACTCCTTCTTCAGCAGGGCCAGGGCCTGCATCAGCCTTTTGGGAATCTGGAAGTAAAAATAAATATATAATACTCTTCAGCCAATATCCTACATTGTATATGAGGACACTTTTACATGCTTCTAATTTTCTACTAAGCAGTTGCATGTTGTTTTCTGATAATGTGGCTTTTTGAGAAGCCAGATTACCAGAAATGTATCTACTAACTATAAGAAGCTGGTAAAAGACAAATATCACACATTTTAATGACCAAAAAGTACAGGCTTACGTTTGTCTCCTCTAGTACTTCCTGTAGCTCATAAGACTCTGCACTGGTCAGGGCGGCACCTGTAGTACATGTTGTACATACAACTTATGTTTCAGTGAACTCTACAGATGAATAAAACTTTCTCTCCAAATGTTAAAAGAAAAAAACAAATATTTTCTTGTTGTAGCACATAACAGAAAGTAATGCTTACCCAGATCACTGAGGTAGACTGGGTTGTCAATGACCTTCTGTCCAGCATGGATCATCTGTGCAACAGACTCCCTAGAAATGGGTACTTAGTATTAGGACATTGTTAAGGAGAAAATTGTCTTAGATACTTTAATTTGTCTTCTTCACTGATTAAGTTAACACTCACTGTCATGAACACAATTACAAGCCACATATGAATTATGATACTTTTTACCATTTTTCTTGTGTTTATACAATGAGCAGAACCATTACAAGTCTTTATTGTTTGGAGGTATTTTCCAAATGACTTTAAAACAAATATACATGTTCTTGAACTCACCTATACAATGGATTTAGAGCAATGATGTCCCGTATAGTCTTCACCACTTCTGCTGTAAGTGCCTATAAACAAAGGTGCATAGTTAGATGCTACAGCTCCTATTTAGCCCATTTGGTACCATTAAAAGCATGTTTTTGTTTCTGCATCTTTTACAATCGTACATATATGCATGTCCACTATGAGCTTTTCTTACAGAAAAAGACAAGATATGATACCTTGACTTCTGTTGTCATCTGAAACTTATCATGAGTGACGTTCTCTGTTTCCACCATCAAGTTCTGCTCAGGGACCTCTGTATCTGAAGGTTCCGAGTCAGCTGCAGGTGACCCCTCCTGTGAGGTCAGCACATGCTCCAGGTGCGGGACTGTCTCAGTCGGACCAGGTGGGGCCTCACCTGTCTCCACATCAGCTGGTTCCACCTGCTCTAGTCCCAGCTGGCCGAGCAGCTTGATTCTGGCAACAAGAGAAAGAAACAGAAACAAGCTTCAGGTCTAC